TCGCTGAGGTTTACCATCCATCAGTAGGGCCCCAAGACTCCCCTGGCGACAAAAGGGGACTTACACCCGGGCGCAATATGTATTGTTGACACCAAAGTGGCGCTTTTACCGGAATCAAGAAATGCAACTAACCAAAGTATTACAACGCTACACATTTCCCAGTCATCCACAGAATATTAGCTCAAATCGGAGCCCCTACTCCATACCAGTAAAGTGTATAAGCATGCTTACCGACCACCTTACTAGCAATGCGAACAAGGGCAAACAAGTCCTTCTCACTAATCATTTGTAAAAAAAGCAAAAACTTGAAAACGAAAACAAAAGGTTCTACCTTAAAAGATTTTCTGTTGGCCTTTTGGTTAATTCTACCAGTTTCTACTGCTGCTATAAGCAGGCTTGCCTAAGTCAATTCAGTTTCACTAAAGTAGTTCTGTGTTTTTACCCTTTTGTAGATTGTTTTGTCTCAAAAGTTTTAAACTGCCTCCACGTTTTGATTTATGGCCATAGCAAAGAGACCTAAACAAAGCGGCTTTGATAAGATGACAGAATCAGTTAAGTCGTCTCTAAAGTGTTTTGAGTGTTGTGGCGACGAGAGACAGGCTGTAACCCCACCTTTTATGATTGAGAATGTTGGAAGAAAAGTGACACAAAACAATGGTATCTTCGCAGCAAGAAGCTTATCACCTCCTCACTCCTCACGCACACAACCCTGTCTTTGCAAAGTAACTGGATCAACCGAATTAGCCTCTAAGTAGATCCTTTACAACTTTTGTGCCTCCTTTTATGCTGCGCATAAAAATTTGGATGTGGCTGTAGGTTTTTCTCATCTGCACCCACCCCGTACTCAATGTGCTCACTTGCAGTGACCGTGTTTGACCTACATGGGATTGCTTAGGCCTCAATGCTTGATTTGGATAAAAAACCGTAGAAACAATGGCTTAGCTGTAAATAGGGATTCCTAAGCCACTCGGTTTTATTTGCAATGAGTGCAAATTGGATAATAAGACCGTAAAAATATTGCAAATGAAATCCAATGCGCTCAGTAATGACGGGGTTTTGTGGAAATGTGGGTCTCAATTAACGATTTGGATTTATAATGCACTGAACCAGGGCACCCGAGAAAAAGTACACCAATCGTTCAGCTTGAGCTTACTTTGGGAAGTTTTTTGGTTTTTTATCACTTACATATAGTAGTAGCGTGACCTTCGAGTTATTTTGCTTCAAGCCTGCGGGTTCATTTACCGTTGCAAGTGAAAATGACAGCTTGTCAACCTGAACATGTGGGTGAAATATTTTGCATTTCCCAAAAGCCCAGGCAGAGGGACCCCGCAAGTCCATTTGGCCTTGTAAGCTAGCTGTCCAAGACTAAGTGGCGCTACAATACAGTTGATACTGGTAATACGTTGGGTGGTTGTTTAGCTCTCGGTTTTGGTGATGGGGCCAATTAGGTGCTCCACCATTGTACCTTTGCCAGGTGGGCTTGCCCCTAGGCCATGCTAGTAGCCTCAATCCCCTCTGTACGTCAATTATATATATTTTGCTATAGTAATGTTTTCTTTTGTCTTTGGGGAAGTCCCATGTAGCTACATAATGTTTTTCTACGTTAAATTGCAGGCATTGGACATTGATTAGACCTCTGGACTGACCCGTGGTGGTGTGTCACTCATTTGCCTTCGATCCCTCTACTATTTAAGAGCCCTAGTTTAAAGAAAAGCGTTTATTACACCAGAGTTTTACTTATTTCTAGCGTTTTCGCACCAATAATTCCACTGCAAATTCAAATTGAATCCATGTTTTTTATTATCCTACCTCAGCTGATAGTCGCTGTGCAGCTATTTACAAACGGAAATGGGAAATGTAACGATTCCCACCTAGACCTTGACTCAAGTCACGCTGAACTAAAAGGAATGACAAGCGTGACATGCACACACACAACATAAATGCATTGCAACCTAAATTTTTGAACTGTGTTAGAATAAGAAACTGGCTTACTTACCCGTACTTTTAGTTCACAATGTTCATAATTAGTCAATGCTAGGCAGCATTCAAAAGTTCCCCGTTTAACTTGAAATCACCTACAGCATTAGGCATTCCTTTCTCCTGATTTAGAGGAAGTTGTACGTTGTTACGAGTGTTAAACCAATGAAATTCTATTGAGATCATACCATTCCTCTGAGATGGTACAAGATCTTCCATTAGCTTGTGCTTTGGGTTGTAAATGAGCACTTTACTTGAAATGTATTATTAAGTGACCACTCTACCTCACAAGATATTGGTACTCATCTTCCGGCTTCTGCTGCTGCAGGCACTGAGCTTGGGCGATACTTTCAATTCAGTAGCGTGATGCTCGGGAAGCAAGTCGTTCAAATCCGCGACTTCCCATTGCTGGTGACTTATCCTCTATGGAGCTCGTTATTTTACCTATCCGGCCTGTCACTCCATCGTTAGAATGGCCGCTAAATTAACGGAACCTATAAGCTCATTGTCGATTCAATAATAGATGCATAGGATTTCATGGTAAAAATAACTTAAACTTGGTCGCATTTTTAAGATTGTTTAATGTTCTAATGTACTGGAACATATTGTATCGTCCCATCCAACCTTTAAACATCGTACTCTTCATATTATTCTGATAAATGCGATTGTATTTAGGATAATTGAAAATGCTTATAGCTGGGACAATCAGCTGTATAGCGTGTGCCGATGTTGAAGCAATCCTGGCAACATTTTATAAAAAAGTACGTAAATGAAGTTCAAAAATGCCTTTTATGAGAACTTAACTAGTCTTTATTTTAATACATTTTGTATTAAACGAAGCAGGTAATCCTCACTGTATGCTACGTCCAGAGATTCGAACGCTTGTATCACCCCCTCTGAGTGCGGTTCCGCGTCTTCGTCTGACGGCACTTTTCTCCATTCCTTGATGGTAGTATTTTCCCATCTAAATCCTGAAGTTGACCACGACACCTCAATAAATTGGAGACAGTTTTTTTCTGTAGGTATCAAACCGGATGACTAATGGACATGGCTTTAGCAACCTTCTGACCTGGAACTACTTCTTAATATTACGTCCCATTTGATAGATCGGTAGTTCTCAAGCCTAAACATCCTTATTTTGACACTCATAAGGCAGTTAGGATGAATTCTAAAGGACATTTATTTATTTGCTGCTTTATTCATTGAGCAGATCCAATGAACTACATTTTATACGTTCATTAATTTCGCATCACCTCTTAAACATAAGCAACATAGCTTAATAGTTTTTGCAGCAAAAGCCCTCCATTTAAAGTTTAAAAAAATAAGGTAGTTTAACAGCGTGAAAAATAAGCGCTACTAAAGCGAACGATAAACGATGATACCGTGTTTTAAACCGATTTTAGACCATCCGATTGAGAAAGTTTTATAATGCATGGGTTACAAATAAATTTTGCAATCACCTCTGGTAAATACCTCTTATTTGCGGAGTCAGTTATTTTGGGTGTATTTTATTCCTAAAAAGACCGCACGAGGTGTTTCAATGACGCTATCCCTGGGTACTTTAACTACACCCCATCATCTAGAATTTGATTGTGTCAATCATAGTAGGCTCAACCATCTTTGAAATGTTCTGTCCATGAGCTAGCCATCTGAGGAGCTGACGAGAAAGTGGTATTTCAACTTAACGAAGACGGGGTACCATGGGCACATTCGTGACCGCGCTCTACTCTACCAGCTGTGTATGCCGAAATAGGTGTGCGTAGAGGCGACTTTTCTAGCACGGTCTGGGATTTACGTGAATGTCATTTGTCATTTCAATCACTGAATTTGATGAATGAGAGTCGAGCGTCGGTAATGTACGCGTACGTTCAAACATTAAAGCACATAGAGGAGCCTTAAGTCTATGGGCGTGACCAAAGAGCCACACTGCAGGGCGGAAGAACAACATGCACACTCTGAATAGCTCGCATTTTAAAATATGGAGCAAAAAAATATTAAGTCGCTACATGGCCCTTCTCTTCGTTTGAGCGCCATTCTCGCTGCTACCCTTGGTCACTTTTCTACGCCGACCACCAAAACCTAGGCATTGCCTTAAGTACCACCCACTAGCTAGAACCGCTGGTCATAAAAAAATTTCACATAGACTGTAAGACCTTCAATTCCATCTTCACTTTAGCATTTCCGTGTTTTCATGACATCTACATTCCATTGCTTCGTACCATTCAAGAGTGGATGATGGTCTGCAATGAGAATAATTCGTACCTTAATCACTGGTCGTAGGATCATTAGCCTGAAAGCGGAGCAATTTACGAAATTACAAAATTTGAGGTGGCTACACCATCCATTCCTCGTCACCACTTTGTTCTTATTTCAGTATTCCTAGTCGTCTATCTGTATTCCACTCAGCTAGTAGAGATGTGGAGGAGGTATCGTTTGATCACGGAATCAAGATCTTAGTACAAATAACACAGGGTTCAATTATGGACTTTTAAGTCGTTCAACTCTGGTATCGCTGTATTTGTTAATAAATTTGTTGAAGATCCCAAGATTGGGGTAGTTAACATAGGCGGATGTCATTATTCAACACTCCATTAGGATCTTTCGCATATTCACCCCACTACAGACAGTTGGCCCTATAGGGTCGGCCTCACCTGCCGCTGCCACCAGTGTAGTGCCTCAAGTCTTTCTTGAACTCGTAATTAAACCGTACCGGTAATGCGAAAGATTTATTTTGATCGCACAGAAAAGGTGAGAGGCTATATGTGTGGCTGGCAGATCGGAAGTACAAACTGTGGAGACTAAAAAGCCGCGTAGTTAAACATGGCAAAATATCAAAACACTACATAGTCACAGACATTTGGCTCCAGGACACCGCAAGTTTACTTGTCGGTAACTGTGACATGCAATTCACCGCATGTTGCAGTATGACCGATTTGTTTTGCACATCGTAGCCCTTTAATAATTCCACTTTAGACTTGCGCAGGTTGAAAATAGTCAAAGCAAAACCGCGGGTGTTAGTTGTCTTAAATCAGTCGTGACAAAAACAGTGTACACAAAAATACTACTAACATCTGATTTTTGCTTTCACAGAATAAATTATACATCCTGGAGTGAAAAAAACCCAGGGCACTTTTCCGCCTTCTCTAATCTATAAAAATGTATAAGAAAACTGCTTAGACCGAGTAAATCCAATTTGCCCATTTGGCATGGCATGAAAGCGTACAGCTCTCTGCTCCGACAAGACACTTTGGTGGTGGGTGTGACCGTCGGGAGTGGTCATTGCGTCCTATGAATCAGATTAAATTCACGCCTATCCTACCAGGGATCATCTTAACTCCCAGACCCACCTCCCTCACATGTAGTAGATTTAGGATACTGTCTAGAATCTACGGCAATCTGGATTAATTTTAGCTTAATTTACCATTGTCACCCCATTCTATTGCTTTCAACTCAGCAAAATCCCCTAGACCTGCTTTTTCACCAATACATAAATGCTGGCAGCATTGCTCTAAGCCCAATTCTGTAAATTTTATTAGTCTATTTGATAACTAAGACAAAAAGCCCTATTCCACTCGCAGCTTTCAGCTCAATGGGGGTTAGTGGTTTCGCCCCATGCATCACGCTTAACTTTTTTCAAGACAAACACTACGCAAACCTTTTGAAAGTGCGCCAAACACCATACGACTTCTTCAAAACGCGATCCAATTTCTGACCATGTGTCAGTGATTAAAACCAATGACCTTGAAAAATTTTGATGGCCTCCAGAGCTCCAGCTACCAGTTGGATGCGCCTCATCGTTTTGATTGGCTGAAGGAGTAGACAACCTTGTCAATCCAAGCGTACCATTGGTCACCGTGGCACTGTGGCAATTGGACGGTTCGTCGTCCTCTGACACCTTCAAGCCGTTGCATCAACCAGTCACGCTTTTACGTAAAAATGCACTCATTCCACACTCAAACCATTGGCTGGGTGTGTCACCTCTTTGCCTTGGGGAAGACCGTCACCTCGGTCTAGACAATTTTTAAGGAACGAAGCGCTCAATTTGGACTGCGAATGCCAACGGAGTCGTAGTTTCTTCTAACATTTATGCCGTGCTAAGTAAGCCTCATTTTTATGCTTTTTTCCTCCATGTTTCATGAATTTCTCCATAAATGATTATAATGCTCAGAAGCAACTAGGAAGCATTTCATTGATAACTTTCTGTTCCCAGTGTAGCGTGCGAAAAAGTTTAATCTATTATAAAAAGTACAATAAATGCGATAAGTATGCTGCCCTTAAAAAGAATCCTTACTGTTCATCACGTGAGGTCATAACTCATCCCACTCGCACACCTTGTGTTGACGACAGACTGGCCCTGGTGTGACTGTCGCCAGCACCGGTTGCTGTGATCTTGCACGAAAGTAATTTTACGAGGTCGAAAAAGGAACAACTTCCTCGTCTGCTGACGTCTAAAGTGGACAGCTTCGCCATATGCCTTTATCATCCGTGTGTTCACAATTTTCTCTGGCTCCTCTCATAATATAAGTAAAATGAAATTGGGTTCTAAGTAGTCTTTCTTTATTCCCACGTCGTTGGTTTAACTCGTTCTAGTAAATCGGTTGTTGGGGTTAAACTATTACTGGTTTCGGCCGTTTTTGCATCTCTTATACGACCTCCCAATGAATCATGTGACCTAGCTTGTCAAGCCTGAATCAGGGGGCTGGCGCTCTCGTTAGCCCCTTGCTCATAGCCTGCGCACTTCATCTACTGAAATGTTTATTCGCACTTCCCCTACTGCCCCCGCAAAGTAAGCCGCCCTTGTCATAATTGCGAATGTGGCTCTTTGAGCACGGTCTTATCAGAAATCCGAGTGGCTGCTTGTCTGGTTATCTGATCAACACGCTCATGAAGCTAATTTTACGCAGCACGAAGTAATGGCAAATGCTCCAATGCACTCCAGTAACTAAATCTTTTGCAGTCTTGAGCCCCCAGTGAGTCTCAATGGCACTTTTATTCAATCCTCATTCAACGACAATTTTTCCGAATTCTATGCATCAATAGAACTCTCATATTTAGTGGAAAAGCCATACGCTTATTGTTCGCGCCCCAAACCTTTTTTCCTAAAAGCACTTACACCTATAACCTGTAAGCCAAACCGTTTGTGTGGCAATTGGGTCCAATCCTTGGAGTTGCTTGTGAATTATCCAGTCATGGTGTAGAGCACCGTCCAACATTACGGTGGACCAGTCAGTTATCAAAATTTTGGGGAAGTGGTGCTGCGTCGAAGAGATGGGCTTTGCCACCGTTTCTGTTTTGACGAAACGGTTTCTGCCCAAATGCACGTTGCTATTTTCCCGTGTCAAGGTGGACTTTTATTTTGGGTTACCGTGGTGGCTACCACCAAAACGTTTATCTGTGTGGGTTTCGTACATCCAGTAACTTACATTGTTCCTCATGCTTAAGGGTCCGTGCATGCATAGTAAAAATTCTATCTAGATAGGGCCTTGTTTGTTCTCCGCAATTGGCTTCCTGAATCCAGGATAATCACACTACGTCGACGATATGTAATTCTTTACTAATGATAGCAGGCGTTCTTTGACTTGTTTTAACAGTTTTGCGTCGGCGCTGTAACTTATCGGATGATGATGCGTTTGTTGATGACTTGCGCCATTCAACGAGTGATTGCTGTAGAAGCTCACTGGACTTCTCCGTTCTGCTAATTTGCCCGAACTCTACCGTTATCCACACTAATAAGCGTTCATTTCGGATCTTGAACGGGCACTTGTTAATTCACAACTTCATCGCGATGCAAACTTAGAGGGCACATGGAGGCGGCAGTTGCAAGTGGTTCTTCTGGCTCCTTCCTTGCAAAACGTCTTCGCCTTTGTACCATTGCACTAGTGTTGGTTTTCGTACCTTATCAGGATCTTTTGTGTTCAACTCCCGGCCTCAGAGCCCATGCATGTCTAAGTCAACAATGATGCATAATTAGTGGGTTTGATAGATGATCCTCCAGTTACATAGATGCAAAAGAGCGGTTTTTTAAACATCTGGATTCCACGGATGGGCAAATTTACTTAAAATGCAAATTTGAACATTGTAGTACTGGGTCGTCGGGTGGATTGACTGATGCTGGGTTTGGTGATTGTTATTGTTTATTCCTGTCGGCACTCCCAGAAGATTAATGGCGGCAAATATGTTTTTCTTCGTGCATTCGTTAGCAAAATCTGCCGGGCAAACAGCATAAATTAGTCCTTTAAAGTTACCATCGTTATTTACACTGTCACATTTTCCACTCTGGTTATGCACAGGTTAATTTTATTGGAGTTGCAAAGTTTTCGGGTTGCTATCCCCGTTTCACTCGTTTACACCAACTTACAAGGCTGGACCTGAAGTGGAGCATCTATTCTACCACAGGGCAAGATCAGGCCGGCAGCTCCTCCGATTCACCCATGCTCCGATGATTTCGATGTTACGTGAAGCTACATTCTGTTCCATGTGAAAGGAGAAGCATGTGTGTGTATTGCACATTTTGCTGCAAAATGTACACAAATTGTTGATAAGCCTACGGACGTGTTGAAGAAATCAGTAATGTCGATCTCCACTTCGTGGATGCGATGTGGCAAGGCTGTTAGTGGCCAGAATACCACACAGTCCCAGCATCCAACTTTAATAAGCAGCGATTTCCTCTTTTTCTGTGAAAACGTCTATCATTCATTGGTTTCCAAATCGTCCGACGGAAAGAAGTTCGAAAGGAAGCCAGGCGTGCAAAACTGCACGCTGTCATGGCCATGCGGTAGTACGATTGAGCCAGCAATTCCACTGTGTAGACAGTTTTCAGTCTTGTAGTTTGAGTTCGAAATTCGCTATGAAACCGAGGTTGAAATGCCTCAATGGTCGCGTTGTGGGAGTTTGACAAGTCGTTTTTACTTCCACACTGCTAACTTACCAAGTTAAACCATCCCTTTCCTACGCAACAGTGCATTTGTGCACGCACTGTCTTTTCGCCACACTTACATTACCCTAGAAGTAACTGCCTGAGGTCTCTATGGCCCTCTCGATTTATGACTCGAAGATTTTTAATCCATTTTCGAATGTCACTTATCCCGATACGCACCTACTATTGGTTAGAATCCAAGTACTTAGGGTGGGTGTTTTACATAGTGTCTAAACACATTCCGCCAACTTATCGAAATACGGTAGCATTCCACTTAGGCATCATTTTGCGCATGCTACTATGATGAGTGGTTGCGTTTTACACAAATCCATCCGTGTGAAAGGTTGCACTGGCTGGTGAGAGCCTTGGATTTCTCCCCCTTCCTCAAACTTGTTTTATGGCTGAAGTACCCTACTGAACGTTTCACGTCAAAGAGATGGACAATCAGTCAAACAGTATCGGAGTCGTATGTTTTACTCATATAGGGATCCAGTATATGCTTCAACCTCATCCTCCCCTGTCCGACTTGGATAGGAACGCGGCAGGAGCAGCACATCCAGAAACCGTTTCAGGGGACAGGTGTGAATCCTTTTCAAAATGCGTGCTTGTAGGCCCATTTGACGTGTCCACATTCAGCTTTACAGTTTTGTAGTAGTACCATAGCAACGCGATGTCAGTCTTGACATCAGTTAATGTGTGCTCTTGACCTGGGTAATCCGGAATGTGGTGCAAGTAGATCGGCCCCTTGTCGAACAATCCTGTTTTTCATTGTATCGAATTCATTTTTTCAGCGAAATTTTTTCTATTTTGCCATGAGTCAACCGACTGTGTATTTGTATGTGTGACCGACAGCGCCGTTAGCAAACGCATAAGCAATAAGTATTTTCTGAGCTCCTGGGATCACAATAGGTTTGGGCCTTACTAGATACCCTTGTGGCTCTTATATTGTCTGTTTTATGAGGCGCAGAAGTCGGAAGTGAACTGGCTGACAAATGGGATGACGAGCCATAATGACGCCTACTTTTTCGTCAGTAAAATTACAATAAAATTCTGCCTCATTTATCCTTGGAAAAACTTTCTTTTTGGTCTGCCTAGTACCTTCTGGCTGATAGTGAAGCAAACCTGCGTCCTACATAAAATGGGAGTAAAGGCAACCCGATGAAAGTAGCACTGGGTGGACAAAGACTTTCAGAAATCTGAAAAATTCGGTCCACGTTGTCGATCCAAAACGCTTCAAACTCTCCTCTTAAAGCATGTCTTTCCGTACTGTGAAGCAGTGCAGCATTTACTTAATGTTGACAAAGTGGTCGCCTTTCGGGGGGGCCAAGCTTCCCGTTGTGTTACTCCACCACGCGATTCGTAACTCTGAATCGCAGCAAGTGACCACCATATAGTACAAGAATCCAACTCTCCGTCCTTCCATTGTTACTCCTAAACACATTTTTCTCGCTTTAAGAGTCCATACTTCTGTTTCAAAGCCCGTCCATGTTGCCTCATGCACACTTCTCTTTCAATCAGGCCTGGACTTCCACTCAACCTTTTATTATTCCAAGTTAGTAGTTTTTAATTGAAGTTGACCATTCATGCAGAGAATCAACAGTCAAGGTTGGACTGCGTTCTAGTCTCTAATTTCAAACTACCTGGCTTTGTGTAACTAATACTAAGTCGAATGATCGGTTGTTCCATCGGACTACAACTTGCCTTATTTTCAGCAGTACGGAGCATCAAAGTTAACTGCAGTGGTTGTGCTTGAGCACAAAGCAGACATTGTTTTATGAATTTTAGCATGCTCTGCTAGCCACGATTTTGCGATTTTGTGGAGTTGAGGTGTCAGATGGATAAGTGTAGTGTTTGGGGCCGCATGCGAGTGGTGTTTTGCGTAGCCGGCGATGGTGATCTGGGCGCACCGCTACAGCTACTTTGTGTACATGCAGACAATGTCCAACCCGTCCGACATTTGACGTCTACTCTCTTCTCCCCTCCACGCACACCGAGGCGAGCACGCGACCGCATAAATAAGGCAACACAGCAAAAACAAAAACGCAGATGAAGATGATTCACAAAGTTCCTCTGAGACGGGGAGGCCAGAGAGAGAGGAGGTGGGGGAGAGAGGTGAGGGTTGCCAGCCTTGTGTTCTGTTTACCCACTCGACGTGGCGAGCTGTGTGCGTGCGTGTCTGTGCGTACGCATGGTTGTAGGAGGCTTACCGACGCCCAGTTTCTGGACATTGGGTGACGGGCGCAAATCATCTAGGGGCACATGTGTTCACTCCTTAATTGCTTTAATGTGGCCTCTTCAAAATTTCCCACTTTTCACATTCAATTTTCAGGGTTGTAAGTACACCTTTACACCGATACGCTTTGTTATGAATTCTTTCCAAAACTGAAGCGGTGTTTCAGTGGTTTTCCATTCATCCGATCGCCACCTAGTGAAGTTGGCAAAGTTCTGTCTGGTAAAACTATTTTAACTTGTATTGGGTTAAAAAATAGTGATTGTGAAGCCATTTCTTGATGCTTAGCTGCAGTGTTATCGGAGCGGTCTATGTTGGGTGGTGTCAACAGCCTGGTTTAGGCACTAGGCGGCAACCTAATTGTGGTGACGAAAACTTGCCCCCACTTGTTACTCGTTGGAAGTGACTCGGCTTGACAAATTGCACCAGTGTCTTGGGCTTACTGAACGGCGGAACGGGACTACACATCCCAAGGGAAAGTCTTCACCAGAAGCTAGTTGTTTACGTGAATAAACGTGGGAACATACAGTAATCATAAGAATCATCGGGCATACCTTCATACAGATTTGGTCAAATGACCTGACTTCCAAGATGATGGTCGTCAATTCACGATGGATGTCTAGAAATGGGGCACAATTGACTCATATCGCCACAAATTAATCACACACACACACACACCGGCTCATTATTAATCTGCCCCTTACCCTCTGGCAATTAGTTAATTATTCAGAAGGAAACGTTTTACGTGCAAGCTCTGTAAACAAGTCGTGTTGCCCCCTCCTGCATTGCAGCTAAATACCGCTCGAATCACCCCCACACTCATTTGGCACCTACATCTCCCGCCTCACCTCCTCCCCACATTTCTCCCATGTCGGCCCTCCCCATCCACGTCCACTCGCATACATCTAGAACCTAAGACCTGTCAGCGCTAATACCACACACGGTGTCACCACCACTGATTTATCTGATTTGGCTGGGTTATTCATGAATCCAGCTGCGTCTACCTGCCTCCTTTAAACATCGTGGTCCGTGTTTATTTCAAAAACAGTGCAAACCCGGGTAGTCTGGCCAGCCTTTACTTGCGGTCTCCCAAACGAGGGGGCTCCGATAACGCTGCGGATGAGTCATTTCCACAGAGTAATCTCCCTGTTCGTGTCAAACATACTTTCAATATGACCAAGAACCACAATGGTCTCAAGCATGGTAAAGTTCGCTGTCCTCTTTCTCGTGGGCGCATTATTCAATGATAGTTCGATTATCAAAATTTCATTGCCTTAGAGTTGTTTGTGAGCTCATTATATCCGAAAGATTTACTTCCATTTATTTTTTCCTCCATAGTCCAATGGAAGCTCCGCATATCTACCACCAAGTGCGTCCTCCTTCACCCCCTACTACCGCGGCCACCAGCAAATCACTGGAGCATGTCCCCAGGTAAGACACTTTCATGGTCTTGTACGAATCAGATGTACTGAATAATTAATCAGTCCAAGTTGAGGAAAGTTGAGTCATTGCCAACCCTCTCCGTCCAAAATGCAATCATTTCCTACATGGTACAATTTAAATAGCACTATGACATTATGGGGAATGCTTCACCACTTCCTCTCGCTAGCGCGGGGGGTAATTAATTTACGAAGGTACTATGCAATTAAGGGTACATTCTTCTTAGGTAATTGAGGACTTCCCAGTGTGTACAGCGCCGTCACAGATGTTTTTAGAGAGAAGGATTTATGATCTGTTTCTTAAACAGCCACGCGAACTTTGGGCGAGTTACTAGCGCCGTATACTGACAGGGTCCGTCCGCCTCTTGGTTTGTGCTTAGACACGCTCACGAAATTTGCCTTTCAAGTTTGCCCCCTTCCCTCCCACTGCCTAGTCAATTTGTTTTGGTATGTGTTTCTCATGCTAAAAATGGGATATGAAAGTGTGCCCTCCCGATATTTCAATGACCTCGTCTGTGGTTAGTGTGAGTTCCACTGCAATACACTTCCTTACAAAACAAGGATTCATTTGCAGCCAATGCCTTGTTAACTGAATTTCCATGCATTTCGTTGAATGTAAGATCATTTGAGGACTGGAAGCATATAACTTTATTGCATTCAAAATGTACGAAATGGTTACTTTTGTACTCTCACTGCACTGGTTTGCTCACTCATGAAGATTAGAATTCCTGATGCTTCATTCAAAGCACATTTCTCATTTGCCAAATGAAAGTTGCTAAAGCATACTGCATAATTCAAAACACTACTAGATGACTTAAAGAATGAAGTTGTTGATTTTTATGGAATCGCTAATAAGTTGACGAATGTTTCACCAAATAGTCATCAAGCTACACCAAAATCGCAGGCCTCGTATACCAAATTACTGTTATGACAACGTCGTCACTCTCGACTAGGAGTCGGTAATGGTTAAGTGGTGATGGAATAATGGGCGGTCACGGTAACCGACGGTTAAGCGTGTGTTCGCTTGTTTGTGTATGCTTGTGTGTGTGTGTGGTGGGTATGTGAACACACACACCTTGGTGCTGCTATTTGACACTCGGCTCTCGTCCGAAGGCTCTGTTTATTTCTTGCTCGCTACTTCGCTCCAGGTGAGTAACATCCTCATTGGGAGGAGGGAGGAGAGACCGAAGAAACGAGAGAGGGCTGTTGCCTGTCAGAAGGTTATCGCACCAACATGTAAAACGCCAACTGTTCGAGGAACTTGGTCCCTTCATCAGAGCTGTCTGCCTGACTGTGTGCTTGTGGCTGTATCTGTCTGTGTTTCTTTTCTTTTCGCATTTTTCTAACTGTAAGCCTGTTGTGTGGTTGGGGACATCCCTGCTATGCGGTATTTGTTGTGGACTCTGTAAGTTGCAACTTTTGTGCCTATTGTTACTGCTCTCTGCCCTTTCTTCCCCCATTGTACCCACATCTGCTAGCTGAGTATTCAGTGTGCGACTACACTTCCATTGTCTGTGATTTTACCCTTCATTGCTCAGCATGAATATTTTATTGTCAGAGGGTAGTATTAGCCCAATCCAGATTCCATAAATTTTATTTCATATTTTAAGAGAATTTATCATCAAATGAAAAATTGAGAGTCTTTGTATTCTGTCCCTGAATGGGTTTGTATTAAAAAGAATTTCACATAAACAGACCAACGACCATGATGAAGGTTAGGGCTTGCGCTACATTATCCACATATGGTGTTGCAGAACTGAAATTAAGGGAATTTGAATCCGCCTAAAATGGCTTTTCTGTACTTAGAGGGGGGCATCTTAGAAGTCTCATTTGTTCAACGGGATGATTAATTTAGCCTCTGCCAATGACTCACATGAATAATAAATTAGCTTCGTTATTCCGTTGACTTTTTCTTGTTCACTGAAAAACCACCGTCAAGTCTTCTGGTAGGCATTTCTCCCTTCCAATTCTCCTCATCCTCATCATCTAACGCTGTGCACCACTCTCTCCCTTTCCCGCCAGACTATCTTCAAGCCTGCTTCCTCTTTCTTTCGACATTGTGTGGCTGCCTCAATCAAAGGGGTGCCTCAAGACGATGTGTCCCAGTACTTTTTTTGCCCACCCCAGTAATACTCCCTACTGTCTTCTTATCACTAAACTTCTGCTTCCTCCCCTTCTATTCATCCAGATTTATGAACAATACCTTGTACTTACTCCAAACGGAACATATTCAACTTATCACTCCTCTCGCTACAGTGCACTTCTACCAACATTCCTTTTTACATCTCTCAAATTCACTTGCATGAAGAATATTGTGAAATTGTAGTAGTTTCTTTTGTCAGACCATTATGGTGCAAATTGACTTTACAAGTTGGTACCCTATCAACTTTTTCAGTCAATCGGTAATGTTAAAAACCGTGTAATTTTTTCCTAACACCACAGTGTTCATGTTTGTAGCCCCAGTTGAGGTGAACTTTGTAACTCTACAGCCCTGCATCCAAGTAACCCAAATGTCCAACTTTCTACACAGGGCACAATTTTCTAGTGCCATAAACTCCTGCCATCTACCGTAACTCTCGATGTTGCTGTAATCTAATTTGTATTCCTGAGGAAATTTGTAGACTGACTCACACCTAGGAGGATGCTTTTTGTCCAACGAAAAAAGTTCGAACAAAAAATCGGAACACTTCCGTTTTCCAACTTTGTCCAGTTCTAAAGCTCACCGTTTTTCTCATTTCACGGCGCTTAAGGAAAATCTGACACTTGCATCTATAAGGATTTACATTTAAAGTTTTTTGCTGTCAGTATCATAGTGACTTTGTTATCATTTAATTCCTCAAGTTGACCATCCACGTATGGCGATCAGTTGATGGCAGTTTAATCAAAAAGGAATCTGTTATCGTTCGGGTACGTGAATAAATCCGATTGATGGATAGATTTTACGATTGGCCATGGAGTCCCAGAGAACACCCACCAGGAAGCCTGGCATCTGAGATCGCCGATGTACTTGTGGTTGCGGCTTTCTTGCAGTGCGTGTAAATCAGAATTGGCGATGAGAAGGTTACCAATGGTGATTCATTTGTGGTATGTCACTGGTTCACGGACAGGTCGTTCTTTATGGCACAGGCTCTTGTCCCATTTGCAAGTGTGCACACACACACGTGCCACCGTCAGTTGTTCGTTTTAGCTCTTCATGGCTCCTGCAAACCTGATTTATCACCCCACTAATCCAAATGTGTGTGCATGCGCCTAGGTTGGTCGGGGGCCCCCTTCGTTTCACCTGATTTAATGGATCAGTTCCTCATTTGACCTCATTTTTGCGGGAATAGGGCCTGTATAATGGAGGTCTTGGAAACAGTCAGGCAGGCAAATGATTTCAGGCTGGGAGGGATGGAAGACGTTCTTTTTCTCTACATCAGCCTTGTACGTTTTCTGTATTTTCAATCTAATTGGAATGTGGTTATCAAATAATGATATGTTGATATGTATGATATGATGTATTGCAAATGGTGAACGATCCCTGCAGTACCGGTAAGTTAAATCAAATGGATGACTTATAGTCCATCTGGAAATGAGGATTATAACCGATAAGCCGACCTTATGCTCTTTCTGAGTGCAGCATCTTACAATTTTACGTCCACAATGGAGTCTCTGTTCACCTTCGCATTAAGAAAGTTGCAAGTCTGTACCTCCTCACACATCTTGCCAGCACATATGCCAACACTCCATTAAAAGCGGTGCTCGTCAGATTGTGTTCAGCAGTACCTTTTGGTAGAGGAACCCATTCCTTTGCTAGGAAAGCGAGTGGTAAAATGACCTAAGTTTTAGGACCAAGAAGACACGTAGTTAGCAACGACTTGATTTGCTACCGGAAGGATGGTTCCTGTTCTGCCTAAAGACTACTGCATTAACGCCTGTGTGAGCCAAAGAACAAACGTAACTTTCGAAATAAAACACTTCCTGTAAACTGGCTTTTACTTAGTTGACTTTCTACGGAAAGTGTAGCACACGAGGGTGGTGTTTTTGAACGCACATGAAAAGAAGTTGCTAGTTAATGTGCTTTCTGCAGGAAAGTCCCTACTTTATGCTGCTTCTAAGGTAGTTGCCTAAAATCCCGCACGGGCTAAGGTTAAATAAAGAAAACGCCTTAGTAAACAGTGGTACGGAATGTTTAACAGCAGCGCGCTTGTTCAAATTAATCTATGCTGGCAGACAACATTTGGGTCTTGACGTTTGGGTAATGTTTCTATCTCACCACCCACCAACTGCCGCCTGAAAGTTCTCAGTTTAGCATTATACTGATGAGAAAATATATTCAATAGTTAGCATTTGATGATAGCTCCAGTTTAAAGTAGGGTATCAGCATGTAAACTCATATTGGATTAAAATAACCAAACATATTTTCCCCATTAAGAATGTCCAGCCGCCATCGGGGATCAAGCAGGAGCGAGGAGGAGCGTGCTCGGTTGGGATCCCATCCACACAACCACCGCAGACCCAGCAGTGGTGGTGGCACTCATCGTAGTCGCAGCGCGCACTCATCGGTGACAACCGAAAACAGAAGCGCAAAGGTGGCCTCTGGCCGACCGCTCTCCGCTCACTACGCCCTCCGACCATTACCCCCGCCCCCCTCGCCATCCAGGTCTCATTTCGGTTGCCTCCTGCGTACCGGTCTCCCTCCTATTCCGCCCGAATTGGCCGCAAAGATCAGCTCTGCCGGTTCCAGGCCCCCCCACTTCGCCAACTCCAAAACCTTTCCATCGGGAGGAGATGTGAGATTTTGAATAACGCGTAGTAGTTGGTTTATAACTGTGCTAAATTGGTATATCCTCGCTTTCCATAGTTGGGTCTGGTTTATTGCCTATTTTAAACTATTCAGCCTTGATATATGCTTTAATTATTTTCCCTCCAAGTCGCCTTCCTTTGAGTAGGACTGTAGTCGAGAGCCAAAGCCACCGATGCATGACTTAATTTCCAATGGCTGCTTTTACAACTCTCCTACTACTTTGCTGAGTTATAGTGGAAATTAACCACACTTTGCATTGTTGCCGACCCCACACGAAAAAAACATTTCGTGTCTTCTGAGAGGCAAAGATGTGGTGCAGTTTGTCAGTCGGTAATGGTTTTGCTTCGACTAAGTGCATGAGGTTTCGCCGTTCCATTGTTGTTATGTTAAATGCCCTGTTACTTGATTATCTATCTAGCGTGACCTTCAGGTGGCTAATTTTGTGAATTCAGCTCGACTTTTTTGTAGCTTTTGACCCTGAGACCAGCCGATGTTTAAGCCTAATTTAAACACCCGAGACGCCAGATTATGGAATTTTTATTTTATGGCCATTCCTTTTGTGATAGGTTCCGGGCGAATCCACTTTCTCCAAATGAAAGCGAAGTGTTACTTTACATTTCTGCTGTCAGAACCATTGTTCTATACACTAGAGGGGTGATCATTCACTTTATCAAGAGAGGTTAATAATAGCAGCGTTCCAAGCTATGCTGCACTGACCATGTTTAAGGGCTGTGGACAGTATATGGATGCATTCAGTTTATGGAATGATACCTCAACATCAGGATGGTCAAACGTTAAATCACATTTGGGCTGGTTTCGTAAGGTGATCCCTTTAATGGCCGGAAGAGACCACGAATACTACATTGCTATGCTTCCATCGACACATTTCCGTCAGCGTTTAATTTAGTGTTTGTACGCCCAAGCTCAGGTGCTAGCGGCAATGACAGTTGACACACCTAATTACTGCCCAAAAGAGAACAAAAGAGATTGTTATGTTCCCATGCTGTCAAGATCTTCTCTACCATATCCAGCACCCTCTATTCAAGTCGTAGGTGAGGTGAATGGTCCAGCCTAACGATTTCCCGCGAGATAGTTTACTCAGCCCTTAATAAAAGTATTCGTATTTTTTTATTAAAAAATGGTTCAACTCCAGCCTTCGTGCAAAGGCTGTGAAAGTTTTAAATTCTAAGGCAAATTAATTTCACCGAAAGCTACTTTCTGACCCTTTAACTAATTTCCCTTTCACATTTGTCTACCAACATCCTGAAAAATCCCAAATGAATTGTTAAGGCTGTGCGCCTAAACTATCTGTTGAACGGAAAATAATTTGATGCTTTGGGTTCTTTCAAAAAGAATGCAACGGTATCTTAGGCTTTCAGCTTACATTTCCCCATGAATTTGCCGAGTTCTAAAAAGTGATACGCAAATTTGCGAAAAGGAATTTTTATATGCGGTTTGAGCAAGCTTTTTTCTTGCGTAAAAGAGCTCTTAAAAGCCGATTTCTCGCGACTGAATTGTTAAAGATGCTGGCTCCATGGCAATGTGCTTGGAAGTGTCCACCGGCTCCATGGAAGATTTTGGTCAACTTCCAAGACTGGTAAAGCCAGTTTGTGGGCCACCCTCGACCCTGGAATATTGAGCTTACACCCGTAATCCACTGCATAAAATGTCATTTATCACCACTGCAAAAATTATTTGTCCCTCCCCCACTCCCTTGGTCGTGTGTCTGGGCCTCGAGACGCTGGGCTGGCGGAGGTACGGGCGGACGGTGTCTGGACGCTTTAGCTCCACTTAGCAGCCACCTTGTTCGTGCACGTTCGCATTCGTGCTTGCTTGTAGATGCACACCGCGCTGCGCTGCCTTCGGTCAGCCTGCTGTCCGGGCTGCCAAGCCTCGGTGGCATCCTCCATGTGCTGATGCGCTGTTGTCTCGAGTCTCTCGCAATGGGGATTTCTAGGCTAGCCTTGTTGCACTACTTTCTGTCCCACGCGTCGCTGTCATCATTTTTTTTTGACACTGCGTGGACCACGCTGTAACACTGCGACACGAGCTATCTTCTCACTCATTTACGACTGCGACTACCTTTTCGATGGATTGCGTGCATTAACGTTTCAAGGCCTTCGATTCTTTTCATTGCAGCTTCCATAGAGCCTCAAATCCCTATCGCTGACCCACTCTTTCAGGTACAATGACCGAGCTTGAATTCGGGGGGGAGGGGGGCGAATTAAATTGTTTACTATGCTGAGCAGTATGTAGTGGCAGTTCTATGAACGTAAAGGACGTGGGCAGACTTTGCAAAGCTATTCACCCAGCGGTACGCTGTTTGACCGAAACACAGTAAGCTGGAACTCAAAAATACTCGCCTTGCATCTTGTCCACGTGGCACTGCTAGGCGGAAAAGTTGATTTTCTATGGCTATGCTTACAGTGTGTAGTATTTGTTTCCTATACAAAAAGTCAAAATCATGTTTTGCATCGCTATTCTCTTGATAGTTTCCGCCTTCTACACGATTTCATGGCTATTTCGCGTTGAACAAGCAGTCAAGAAAAGCGTATGACGGGTAAATTTTAGCTACACTTACCGTGGTGGAGTGGTGGCGGTGGGACTGAAATGCATCTAAAATCTAGGGAAAGGCGGAATGCATGTGGACTTTAAAGATGGAGCATAATTTATATCAACAATGTTATACATGCAAAACCGTCGACAACTACATGAGTGGGGAGGACAGCTCTGATATAGAACGGATGTTGGCTTGAATATTATAAACGGTAGCATAATTTTACAAGTAATGATAAGCAAATGTTAGAAAAGTTATTTCCGACTACCGGATTTCAGTAGATTGTATCAGTGGGTGGCAAAGCAGACGGTAGTTTACGGTCAAACTAAGGCAATCTGTGATTGCTAATGTTTGAGTTGCTCCTTTTCAAATAACGAATAAATAAACTGTGGTGTGTTGATTACCAAAATTTAAAAGTTGAGATATCAGGCTGCCCATGAGCTCTTGGCGTAGTGGTTCGGCCATTTGTACCTGAAGTGGATGTACTTGTGCACGTGTGCGTGTGGCCGTCTGTCATGTCTTCCCTCTAATTACTTTGGCAGACGTCTTGCCTGTCAGTTGCGCTGGACTGGGCGATAGACTTGGGGGAGGAGAAGGAAGCTGGTGGAAACTTCCTCGTGCTTCACCCCCATCAAGACACGTTAGAAAGTAGCACCACCCGGCCACTCCCTCCTCAAGGCTCCCGTGCGTCTAGCGGTTAAATGTTGGGGTAATTACTCTGGATAAATGACAGGGTATTTCAAGATGTGTGCGGGTGGGCTGCCTAACCTTGGATGTGCTGGCTCCGCTTTTATTCGCGGACCCAGTCGTTCCACTATACTTGCCCTCTCCTCTCCCTCCTGCATCTTACCGTCTCTGAGCCATTCCATATCCCTACTTTGGCCTATATTTTGCTACTACTATCCTGGTAAAAAGCTTGAGGAAATCTAAACAGAATTCATGCCATTTTTTTTCACACGCCCGTGTGAGTTTGGCGTTAGTCAGCGCAACAACCGTTTATTTGTCTGACGTGAGAATTTGCTCGAAATGTTACTACTGATTCACAAGTTCCATTAGCCATGAGTGGGCCCACTTTTACCGGATTGTAGGTTATTTATGCCTGAGAGCTGGACGTCTCGCACCGCTTTAAACAAGTGGAACACTTCCTCGACATTGGGCCAAAAACACTTAATACTTTGGGGTTGAAATACAAGAAACGCAACTGTAATATGTCCACGCTTAAACAAATGAAGAGGAAGCGTAGATTTTGGAGTCTTTTGAGGGCAATTAGCTTAAAAAAAACGAAGCGTCACTTCATACCAATTTAACAGCACTTTAATTTCATCAAAAATGAAGAAGCTTTATCGGAGGTATGACTTAGAGTGGTAAGTATCTGGTGAGTTTTGGGAGAAGATGGCAAAACACATTGTTGCAATGGCGTGGATGAACCTCCGGCAAATGAGCAATTAGATAGGCGGGTGGGTGAGTGAGGTGGAGTGCATCAACGAGATGCGGTTGTCCTCTCCCGCTGGAGGGACTCGCCTCGGGACTCGATTTGGCTCCTTTTGCTTTTGTCGAGATATTTTTTTTTTCACAGACAGCATATTTGTCGCTTCATCAAACCTCTGTCCTTTATGTGGGTAGTGCTGCAATTCGTATTTTCAAAACGCCAAGAAATTGCACCCTTTTTGATCGGTAAATAATAGGAGAAATTATGGGGTAGTTTAGGCTTATTTAAAATACAGGAACGCCGGGTGCCGATTCACTAAAATCTGATAAGAAGCGGCTTTTCCTGTCGGCAACCGGGTGTTTCGCTATTCAGAGGATTTTTCAACTTATTTTGTGAATTGCATCATCTGCTTTTGTGAAGTAACAAAAACATTACTTCCTATCTATGATGCCTATATCAGGGTTATCAAAGCGATTGTGCACCAAAAACTAAGCAGATGGAAGGAAACATGGTATGCCCAATCAGAGAGCATTATTGGCTAGTAAGACGTGTTGCAAGAATGCTTTCTCCTTGAAGTGAGGTGCATATGCCCATTCATCTCCACCCCACAGAGGGATAATGTTGTCGTCACATATTCATGTCGTTCTCCTCTCCTTCAAAAATGTGACAACTCCCTGGCCTGTTGTAGGAAGCAGATGGAGATGTGTCTGACCAAATGTGAGTCACCGTGTTTTGCTTCATCTCGAGTGCATGCTCGAGTATAGAAACCGGTTTTCCACTCTGTTGACAATGAATGCAACCATATTTAATGCTCACTACACCTAGTGGTAGTGGATGGAAGGGAGTCAGCACTCTGCTCACACCTCGAATTTGATGGTCGCGGCAAATGTCGGAAGTGGACATTTATTGAGTTTAGGTGATACTGGTTATGGCGGCAAAAGTCTGTCTTAATGAGTAGACGGGCGCCCATGCTAGATTTAAAAGTAGATTTTGGTCGCTCATTTCACACATCAAAATCAGCACAATAATCAAACTGGATGAAGTCTTTGTTTAAGAACTTTAAAATTGGAGCTGCGCATGAGCACTTGGGTATTAAACCACAATTATTGTTTAATGTGTTTCGAAGACTAGAGACTGCAACGAGTGGACTACTCATTTCACCTTTTAATACCTCCACCTTTGTTCCATAACGCATGAAGTAAGGGGAAAGTGCGTTAAGGGAGAATCGATGGGTTCTAAGTACTATGATGAACTGTAAGTCTCCGATTGTTTCAAGTCACAGACTAGTCGGTTTACGTATAGTTGAGTCATTTGGACTTCTGTTTTACAGCTGTATTGGTGGTAGTGGCAGTGAGAGCGGCAGCAGTTGTAGTTTTCGTCATCGCTAGGCCTCAAAACTACCGAATGTGGTGATGGCAATAAATACCTACCTTTATGGTACACTAAATAAGACATCACCAACTTCTATCTGTACTGCCTGACCATGTGGTCTGGTAGGTAAAGGGCGAGTTTAATTGCTTTTACTCCCTGATGTCAACAGACTCCTTGAGTTGCCGGGGTGGGTCTGTTAAACTAGTCCAGTGATGACCAAGGAAGGCTAGGAGAGGTGAGGGAAGGGTATAGGGTGGCACAGAGCCATAAACTGAGGTCAGTTGTGAAACCGCCGATTTCACTGCACCCGCCATTTCCTCTTCCACTGATACTTTGGAAGGCGTGACTCACTACCAGGCCTCGCCACCGCTGCACCGTGTTAGAATTCCGGATAAAAATGCATGCCGATGTCTTTCCCTTTTTGCCTCAATTTAGAACAACATTTCACATGCAGCTTCCCCACCCCCAATAAAAATATTGCTGGTTTTTTGCGGGGAACACAACCGAATAGGCACTTTTTCTGCATATTTGTGCAGAATTATGGCTAATTATTCTTCATCTGCAGTAATATTATTTTAGCGACTCTTTACCTTTCAGGTAAAAGTTATACTTTGCTTGAAAATGCCCATAACCTCATCAAATGAGGGGATGGGTTCGACCCCCTGCGTGTCTATCGGTCCCCGACGAAAGCAAATCACCCTCGTCCATCCCGCCCCCAGTCGTCGACGCTTCGGCCTAACTGCTCCCAAGATGTTCACTTTTGACGCCGTCTTCACACAGGACGATACTCTGGTTAGTTGCATCACCATCACCAAAATTCGCAGGGTTTACTGTTGCAATTGCATTCTTCCAGTTAATTTGTATTTTTTCATTCAGCTGCAGCTCCCTCCATTTATAGCTTGCAGGCGTCGAGTTCGATGCCCAAAGTCCCATAGAAACTCCTATTTACCTTTTTGTACTTTCTCACAAAATAGTAGCCTAAGTGTAGTGTAATGTTAGGAATAGTATCATTTACCAATGCATGTGCGTGATACTCCGTGCTCATAGCTGTAGACATGAAGCGTTACTATCCCCTTGCCTTTGTGTGAAGCGTTGGTGGTGGAAGCAGCTCTGTACGCGGTACTTTTTCACCTCATGGATGTCGTTCCGATTTGCCACATCACACCACACCACACCCTTCCTCGCCCTCTCCTCTTGCCCCACTCACCCTCAGTGAAGGTGGCGGCAACAGCTGACGCACCGCCGTGCCACGTTAACTGATTGTTGGTGGTGGAATTAGTTGTCGCATTTTTCCCGTCAAGAATTCGGCTACTTTGGTCCCATAAACGCTTACACAAACTCTCACTTGCTCGCTCTTGTGTTCCAAAAAAAGTTTATATGATAATGGATTTCAAGACTGGAGTGACCTCTGTTGCTCAATATTTCCCTGTTCAACGGATGAAACGGTAAACGATTTTCTACGCTTTCAAGTAGAAAAACTGGTAGAAAAGGTTGCAGTTTAAATCCGTCTCGGAGTTTTACTTGAGGCTAACTTGTACCATTCGTAACTTTGTCGCATAAATCTTCACTGCACTGAACTCTTAACTGGAGCGGATTTTTGCGAGACTTCTGTTTGTGACCAATTCGTCTTCCTTTTTTCGAAACTTCTTCTTCAAACATTTTTTCCAGTAAAATTTTTACAAACAGTGTAGTACACTTTACCAAACATCAGCACGTGTGAGACGCTAGGTTAATGGTTTTATGTGGTGCAGGAACCGTGGCAGCATGAGAAGGTAGTACTCCCGAATTCATGTCCGCAAATTGCGTTAAATAAAATGACGATTTGATTATTTTGAGGAGCCACTCGATCATTTTTTATTATTGAAGCGATGTCTGAATCTAGCACGGAATGAAAGTATTTTTATTGGTTATACGGTACTATGTGGAACGTGAACCTTGCTGTACCTGGTCTCTTAATCTGCGATTTTCTGCAAGGGGGAGGGGTGTGATTATCTAATCAACCTCCTGTTCACTCTAGCGTTTTCTCCTCTCTTCCGCTTTATCAAGTTGGCTCAGCCCACAGGCTGACGGGCGTCTTTACCTTATCTATTCACCCATTAGCAAAAGACATGCCATATCCGCGTCAATCATAAGCCACCACATTTGCGAATGCAACAACTACCCCACCCATAGCCGAATGACTGCTACCGAATTCCAAACCTTGTGGTGAACATTCCTGTTTGGGTGGTTGTGTGGTTCCCCACAGTCTGTATGTTTTGCAAGAAACAGAAATGGGTAGATTTCCCCTCGTGTATTATTAAGTCATCAATAAACGAATGTCATAAGAAAGCACTTAAGATTCAGACCCGGTTTCCATGTCATTCATTAAGCATGACGGCCATCGTGAAGTGTTGCTTCTCGGTATTTAAAGTCTATATTTGGTATCATCGTTAATTATGAAGTTCTGATGCTACTTTCTATCCGCAAATTAAATACAGTTAACATGTATTATTGTTTTTTTCTGAGAAAAAAATGTTTGCGGGAAGGGGGCTTACCCTCAAATGTCAGAGGTCGGACATGCATCGCCCTCAATTTAGTGGGCGGAGCATAAGCCCTCGTTGAGTTATTATTTTCCGAGTCTGGTCCTCACTTAGGCACACATTTTCATTTGTATTCCTTTATACAGGCTGAGGTATGCTCTTCCGCCTTGGTGGATGCGGTCTATTCCGTGGTGCATGGAACTGACAGCTGTGTACTCTGCTTTGGTCATGCAAAAACTTGTAAGTGTTTACACCCGTCAATTTATTCACTCTAAACGTTTTAGGCAGATTTTCCTGAGTTGGATTTGACTTCAGCAGCTCAATAGTGCCTTTATTTGTATACCTGATGATATCTTTTAATATGAGGCATTTGGTTGGATCCTCGAAGAGTTAGCAAATTTACGTTGGCAGCAGCAGTACTTTCACTAGATTACAAAAAAAGGCGAGTTCCTGACACAAAATGAGAAATACCCTTCGACAGAAAGGCTTGGCATCGGGCGGTCTCTTCAAAGGTGTTTTGCGGCAGCTTGACAGTTTTAAAGCGGAATGCAAGCTCACAAAGGCGAAGATCGGAAATGCTTTCGCGCTTTGTTTCCGCAATATTTTTGTACGGCTGTTTGTTTGTTCAACCCATCGGAGTGGGCAATAGCGATGATACACTTATTTACACTATTTTAATTTTGGTCATATTGGGCTTTATTTTGTAATGGCCTCAGATACTAAAGTCAAAAACCGTACGAGAAAGGATTGATAGGAAGGGCAGATGTTAGGTGAGCGGGTGTATGAAGTCGGTATTTGTTATCCCATTCAATATATTCTCCTCAAATAGTCTCCCGTACTGCCTTCCCCACTCATCAGAGTAATTTAACACCCTTCAACTGGCGACTCAAGGATTTGAATTTACAACTAATAAGCAATAGCTATCTGTTTGAGGCTACCGAACTTGCAGGGCTCATGAAATTTATCCTGTCCCGCGATAACGTTAGCAGTTACCATCACCCACTAGGTAGCCTCACTGCACTATACGACGAAATGCCCCATAGAAGGTATTCTCCGAGCACTTGCATTGATTTTGTCCATATTATCTTTGCTCCAGTCAGTTTCCCACTATCCCACTCTGGCAGTTTTCCTGGTGAGCCGCCCTATTTTACTCCAACCCAAGCCTACGAGTGGTGTGTTGGTGGGGCTGACAAGTAATTTTCACTTCTGCTATCGTAACTCAGGTACATGCGTACATGTATTTATGTGTCCTTGTTAAACACTGGAGTCATTGAGATGCACCACGGAGCTCAAAAATCACATTGTGCCTCTTGCTTCAATCTTCCCAGTTAGTTATCATTCGGTGCGATGATGTGCATCAACAGCGGCGATGTGTTGCTTGTTTGAACTTGGATTATGGGGAATACCGACTATGATAGCGTAAATAAATGAAAAGGAGGAAACGGTACATTGAAATTTGTGAAACAGGCATGGTTTGCTAATAACCAAATTTAATGAGCAAAACATTGTACTGGGCTTTCTCAGGATACCACTTCGTTGGTTTGGGTATGCTAGACGCATGCATTAATTTGGCATTTCTTAAAAAAGTGCCTAGATCCAGTAAACCACAGCAGCGTTTTGTTTTTTCTTACCATAACCTTCGACTGCATAGCATTTCTTACATTCATCGAAAAAGGTGTTGGCCCAGGCGGAATATGCTACTCCAACTGCTGTTCCCATCAGACTAGAATCAGTTTTACGCAGCGCACGGAAATGACTGGTTCTGAAATATCCACTGGAAATGTTTCATGAAGCATCGTATTCCAGGTAAAAAGAAAAACAGATGAAAGGAGCTATTTCCTACCACTCATAAAATTCCCTAAATTCACTCAAAGAAACTCGATTCCCTCCTTTCTATGGATTCCGTGAGGAGACTGCTATTCTAAAAATTGTTTGCTTTGTTTTGCCTTTGACGCCAAAACCTTCCTTTATTTTGTGCCGACATTGTCAAAAACAGCATTTTCCCTTTTTTCTTAAGTGTGGGTGTCCACTTGTACAACTGGCGTCAACTACCTCCACCACTACTGCCATGACCAGTACTGTATCGAATCTTGCACGCAAGCTCGGGAAATTTATGATGGGAACAAGGAGGATGCTATCTGAAAGTAGATGCATACCTGACGTTCTGTAATAGCCAGTTAAAGGCGATGGCGGAAGTCCTGTCTTGTGATTTGTTGCGTGCGCCTCTATTTCTTCCGCAAGGTGGTGGTGGGGGTGATGGTACCAGTAGCAACAAGTGTTGGTGGTGAAGGCGATGATAGTGGAGGCATTGTAGGAATAAAATGCTTTGCACTCTTTACAAGCCTTCCGGGGAATTTATTGTCCTTTCGTATGCCCTTATTTTCGTTGCGCTAGACGGGGTTCGTAGCGGTGTTTACTGTTCCTATGATGGTCATTTTTTAACGGTTTAAGCTAATCAGTTTTGTCCTTACGTAAAAACTTGACTGAGAACCGAGCCGGTTTCCCAAGCCACAGAGTCTTGTCGATTGCTATGTAAATGCATAACAGAGCGGCTGATATTTAATGCAGCGAAATCGCGGACAATGCTGGGTTCGGATGCCTCGGTGGAGTCAGTGGGCGTGATTCCTTGCGCCATCGCCTGGCTCTTCCGTCTGGTGGAGGAAAAAAAGGAGGCTACCAAAACGCGCTTCTCCGTCCGAGTCTCTGCAGTAGAAGTCTTTGGATACGATGAGTCCTTCAAGGATCTCCTCCATGATTCGGCTCTTGACGGTACGTTCGCATTGTACACCAGCCTACTGGTCTTTTAATTTAGATTCAAGAATCACCCAAATTAGACTTTCAAGTGTACCAATTCTTGAAAAATCTGCAAGCATTTGGTGCTTTAATCAAAGTAGGCAGTTGCTTTTATTTCACGATTACAGTTAACCAAGGGATGATACCAATTGGTTTATCAACGTAAGCTGTCACCAGCTTTAAATTCACCCAACCAACAGTTAATCGGTTCATGTGCCGTATTTGCTTGCTATACAAAAGAACTTACACTTGAACAATCGTCCTGGTGAGTTGGGATTCACATGTGCAATCAATCTGTGTACAAGGGCAGAGGCTAACCATTTTCGTACTTTGCAGTTGGCGCTCCAAAGTCTCGTTAATAGAACTGGCATCCATTTTTCATCCTCTTCATTCCTCAGCATACTTGGAAAAGTTCACAAAAAGGGTAACCGAATAACTACCCGAAATCGGTAATTCCTGCCCACTACAAAGTTGACCATCACTAAAGATGCAGTGTTGGGAGGAACACAGGCAGTAGGACGAGGGTAGTGTTCAAACAAGAAGCACTTATTTGTGGAATTTATCAAACTGGGATAATTCATTATCGCGTGTTCAAGCTCTCGACAGCACATGTGGTGTCGGCCCCTCGCTTGCATAAAAGTCAAAGTAGCATTTCGCCCGCATGTTTAACCTTCAGCCACGAAAAATCAGCGCATAGTGCTTGCATGATTCACGTTTTGAAGCTGTACCTCCATTTTCATGCTACTGATGTAATGCGCGCATTGCACAAAAGTTGTAAAGAAAGGATCAGTTTGCCTCGGGAATAGCGAGAGTACGTCAGGTGATTTCTCTATTGCTGTTCCCCAGATCAGTGCAAGTGGAGAGCACCTAGACACAGAGGTTTGTACCCCATTGCAAAGCGCGACAGACAGGTCCAACCCGAGAGCGCGAAACGTGGCGGGTTAGGATTTCCAACAGTTAGGGGTGGCATTCCCTGCATGTGAGTTATAGAGGGGTGGTGGAGGAGACGGAGGAGGAGCTGGTTCTAGTTCCGTGACATGCAGAAGACGTGTTTATTCACAGTCGCAGATGTTCTTATTCATCCCCCAACGAGGCCGTGTGCGCACATGCATGTCTTAAATTACCCAAAATGTGTCCCCGCTTCGTTAGGTCTCCTGTTGACGCAGACCGTCAGTCGTCCACCTCTGCTCGACAGCTCGTGTTTCCTGTCTCGAACTGCACGTCGGTCTGTAAAATGGGCCATATTTGAATGCATGAACTTGATGAGGTGGTTTTTAGACTAATGGGACTAATCTTGGCTACTGTCTAACATTCGTTGGGACGCTAATTTTCTGAATAGGTGAACTGAGAGGAAATGTAAGGAGACACAAAATCGAGACCTTTGCACTGCGCAGCCAATTACGATCTGGTGGGAATTTCATTTAACCTTCAAGAGTAGGCATTCATGAATCTTTTAGTTATTCCACCTTCTCGGAAATTTATTAGTGGAAATACCTCTAATCTGTGCAATCATACTATTATAACCTGACAGTTTGATAACTTTTTTGCATAATTTAAGGAATATGCCACCCATCTGGGGTGTAAAGGCAACGCAAAGCCATCCTATTAGTACTGCACACCTGGTAGACGTTCTCTTATTTCCACAAAGAGGTGAAATACAAACTTAGCCGTTTACTTTACGAAATATGCCTTTTTTAACCACAATAAGTTCTCCTGATTAAGTGTAAATAGTTTCTGTTTTTGTTTTATGCCTCACGCACATATAATGGGTTCAGCGTTTCCTCGTTCTCCTTGGCCTTCATTCCAATAGAAGGAGTGGATGAGTTGGACAATGACATGTTTTATTGGATAGCAATTGTTAAAAAGGTATAGATTTTGCAAATTAAGCGCGTTTGGAGGGAGGAGGATGTGTTTTCGCTTCGGGGGCCGATGGAGTCGGACCTGAACACGAGGTTCGTTTTACCTGACCGCCTCTCACCTATGAGGTACATTTAACCAACCACGCATTGCACATACGTGAATTTCAATAGAAATTCCCCCTATTAGATTTTGGGTCACGCTACAGCTACGACAGCTGCAAGATTTGCTTCATGGAAAATTTGACTCCTACCCGTTGTTCTCTTTACGCGCACAGACTGTACAGGGTCACCATTTTTATGATTTCTTAAAAAACAGAAATCTTTCTTGGTGAATATCCCTGACACGTTTAGTCAGGAGTCACTCTTATTGACTCGATGTAAATGTATATTCATAGTTGTGATGTTTGGATACGAGCTAGGTGTGCACATAAAAGCAGTGAAAATTCTACGCTTTACGTTTATTCAAAAAATTATTTTACATCAGACTTCCTAGTGATGGGGATGATGACACAACAGAAACAAGAGTATCACATGCTACAATCGAGCACGAGGTCCATTTATTCTAGGTGAATGTGTTCAAGGTTCCACGCCGCTTGACATCAACGTGGCAGCCAGATTAGTGTGATCCTATGGGGAAAACTACCTAATTGTCCCTTCACACTTCAGGTGAGGACGATCACTTATCAGGTCCAGCTCCAAGTAGCTATCTTCGTGACACCAGTCCCAATTCCCACACCTGGTCCCTCTCTTCAGCGAATGGCAACAGTAACACCTCTCCAGCCGCCAGGCTAAGTCAAACCATGGACAGACTGACTGAAATCCGAGCCCCGACTGCCGGTCACGCTGCTCATCTCTTGGACGTTGCCCTTGCAAATCGAGCTCAAAACGTGGCTATCTCTCACACCCTATTCACTCTACATGTCTACCAGTATAAGGTCGAGAAGAATGGGTCGGAAACTGAAGGTAATCCGTCGTCGTGGCCGCTAATATTCTACTCTTTACTGAATAAGTGTTTAAGTAAGCACTTTTTTACGGCTCAGTTTCTGGCGGTAGAAGTCGTCTACAGCTACTCTACCTGGGCTGTGGTCGCTACGGTTCGAAGGAACTTGGCCAAGGTCAGGACCAAAATTCGACCATGAAGAGTCTGTCACTGGCAAACATAGCGAACGTTCTGTTGGGTTTGCTCACTGGACAGCGCCAGCTTCCTCACAGAGAATCGGCTGTCACTCAACTCTTGCGCGAGGGAATGACCGGTAACCATGCCCAGCCCTGCATCATTGCACATGCCTCGGGTCAGCAGCAGCACTACGCAGAGACCTTGCAGGTTAGCGCTAATTCTGGAGACATAGATTCGGGAATCACCTCATCGAGGAGTCGAATGTTTTGCCAAAGAGACTGATGTACTATTATGATGTCATTCTGGAGATTGGTGCGTAAATTGTTATCTAATTGATCCGCACAGGTAGTTCAGTTGGCCTCCAGACTGCACCGGCTTCGCCGTCGCCGTGTTGGTAGCAGTGGAGGGAGTAGCGCGGGTGGGAGCAGTTGGACCGCAACGGTTGGCGGTACGACGTCCGACTCTTCAGCATCGTCTCGGGGTTTCCGCTCGCGCCTATCGGTGCGACCGCGCCTTGGGCGGTCCTCTTTTGGCACCTCCACCACCGACTACACCTCCAGCAGTGAGCAGTCCTGCGCGGGTGACACGGTCATCTACCTGGGTGGTGGAGCTAGTGAGACCGGGAGTTCGCTGGGCCCTCGGGGCCTAGCTGATGGTAGTGTCGTGCATTCCGCAGATGAGTGGAAAAAAAACGCCAGCTCCAGTGAGGAGGGAACTCTCCAAAGATCAGTCGCTGCGGAAAAGACTTGTCTCGGTCGTTCCATATCCCGTTCTGAGGGGGGAGTAAGTTTTCATTCGCTAGTGCCGGCTACAAAGCCATGCGGTCTCTAAATGCAAGTTTGTTTTATTCTAGGGTACACTACGATCAGGTGTCTTGATAAAGAGAGTTACTCCACGCACTAATGCAACAGCATGGCCACGAGCAGCAGCCGTCCGCAAGGGCAAAGAGGTAGTCAGTTCTACGGAGGAAACCTGGGTGGACGGCCCCAAAGCGATGGTAGCGAAAGAGCAGCAAAGTGCATCCGGTAGTACACAGACAACTACTAGCTCTGAGAATACTCCTCCCCCTGCTCCACCTTACTTCGGTTTCACCCACCGTATTGTCCCTCAAAACCCCGTACAACATTCGGATACGCCCAAAATTTTCGTGGCAACACAGGAGCCGACGGCGGCTGAGACCGCACCCGTCGAGGTGACTATCAAAGAGCCGACCTATGCCTCCATCGACGAGATGAAAAGCTGTACGAGTGACGATGGTAGTCCAATTGAGAGCTGTTCTTCTTCCTCTTATTCCTCTGATAGAGAAGATAATGAAAACGATAAGAACGTAATAAAAGGCCTTGGAGGAACTGGTGGCAGTGGTGGAGGCGTGACTGGTGTCGGTAGCAGCGGAGATGGCGGAAGTGGCGGGGGCAGAGGCTTTGGAGTGCTCTCTGACATTAGTGAGCGCACTGAAGAGACCGAGGGTGGGACGTCAGCGCCGAGCAGCATTGGTGGTGGTGGGCATGAAGAGCATGAAAACACTCTTCTTGATCTGGCTATCCAACAAAGCAGTCTTGCGCACGAGGGTAGTAAGGAGGTTGTTGGTAGGTTGTAGGCTGCCACTTTCCGTACACCAAATTGCACATTGCAATGGGATATTAGTTGGTCATGATATGAAAAGCAGTGAGAAATACATTAATTTCTGTTATATGCTTATACTTTTGCTTCTGGCTTCCAATAATCAAAAAAACTTTCATTCATTAGTACGAAAGAATAATCTGTTGAGGACTGACACATATCTGCATGCATAGTACCAAAGTATTTATGGTAATTTGTTTGCAGTACATAATTTGCCGTATCATGCGAACGTTGAATCACGCCAGATTCACCCACTTCTCACTGAATTCAACTTCTTTCAAATTGTTTATCTTTGAAAGATGCATATTGGATCTGAATGTAATGTTCACTGATGGTGTTTATAGGTGACGAGGGCACTTTCAGTTGGCGTCGCTCCGACAACTTATGCGAGGACCCTCAAATTCCCTTCCTTCGATCCCCATATGCAACTCCACAGGTATTTTATTGTCATTTATTTAAAATGATTAATGTTTTAGAGGAATGGAAACAACTGTTTTAATTAACTTTAGCTTGAACATAAGGGCTCTGGACAGCAAGCTGTGACTCCGTCGGTCGTGGACGACGTCACAACTCCAGTGCACCAGTCTGAGTATGTTTTCTACACAAAAGCGTGACATTCATGTATTTTTTAGTAATTTAAGGAGTACATAATTGCTTTCCTTTAACCCATTAGAAGTCACAGTACTCAGCCCTTCCCTTTTGGAGGGAAGACCACGTCTATGGACCCTCCTGTAACCGAGCAGAAGATCGTTCACTCCTCCAACCCTTATCCGGATAGGTCGAGACACTCTCCACGCAGAAGGAAACATTCCAATGCGGCCTCCTCCTTCGACCGAGTGGCCGCGTGGGTGAAGGATGTGAGCACCGACCTCAGCCATGCTCAAGACGAGCGGCTCGGACCACAGCCGCCATCACATCCGCATCCCGAGACCCGTTCCTCTTCTTGTCACCGCTCCTGTTGCACTCGACGTCATCGGACCCACCGCACGAGACGCCAACGCCGGCACCATCACCATCACCGCCACCATGAGTGTACCTGCTATAAGTATGCGCGAGACACGTGCGCCTTGTGCGAATTCGCAGATAGTTGTTGCTCTCGAGTGTGTCAAAAGTGCGCCTACTGCGACCAGGAATGCAATCCCGGTGGTAGGAGTGCCTCCGAATCCCTCAATCATGGCTCGTCATGTAGTACTGCGTCTAAAAATAAGGTCGCTACGAAGTCTCATTCCCCTCCTCCAGTTGAGCAGTAAGACATTACTGTTTACTTATTTAAATGAACAATCTGGGTGGTTATTTTGTACGGACACGCTTTTTTACAGATCCCTTCAACGGCACGCCGAAGCCCAGAAGGCATCACCAGTCTCTCCGATGCCCGTGGTTATCCAAAGAACAGTCTCGTTTCCATGGATGCCAACACAAATGTCACGGTCTTCAACAGCCCATTCCTCGCCGTGCCAACCTCCGCCACCTACACAGCCCCTCTGGTCTCCAGTGTACACTCCACAACTTACACCTATACAATACTATCCTTGGTCCCTCCCCACCTCTCCTTATCTTCAATCATCTATGCAGGCTTGGTCCACGCAGCTACTACTGCCATCATCTGCAGCTTCCAACCTTTCCCAAACGACGCTTCCACTCCAACGCACCTGTGCAAGTCAACGACGAAATTCGGTGGAGGAGGGCACGCCCGCTCGTACTTTCTCGTCTCCCGCTTTTGCATCTCCACAGGAGTCGAAAAAGTCCAAGCTTCTTACTCTACCTTCCATCCTTTGCACACTGCGGCGATGGCACGCGCGTAGGAAGGAGCGAAGGAACAAAAAAGCCTCTGCTAGTGCACCGGTTGAAAAGGAGATAGTGGCACAAGTGGAGGAAAAGACTGACGGATTAGGGTCGGTAATGCCGATCCCGCTGCGCACCAGTGCCTCTCTACCCGGTGCTTACTCGCGGACCGACTTTCCACGGGCTTCGAGCGGTGACCGGAGCCTCGGTCACACACCACAGCACTGCTACCACTACCCGTCTGTGACTCTATCACTCCACAATCCTATGTATCGGGAGTCGTCACGAATGTGTGCCGGGGATCCGTCGACATTCATGAATCAAATGCATCAGAGTCTCTCCACTTACCGAACGTAAGCATTTGATTCTCTCAAAGGTAAACATAAACTGTGGTCAGAGTTGAACTCAGAATTACTTCCATGCGTGTCCATCTCGGATCCATTCCTGGTACTAGGTGGATTAATTCCCAAGCGAGTACAGCTTGTCCATAGCTGGCGGATATTTTGTTCACCGAAAAATGATTCAATCCAACCGCATCACCTTATGCTGGACCCGTAGTTACTTATTTATTGTTTTTCAAATAGATGTTGAAGTATGAATAAAAAATTGTTTCTATGAGAACGAGTCTCAATGTGTTCAACGCAGTTTCAGCCATGATGTATTTAATGCTAAGGAATAGCCTTGATCTTTTGAATAAAGTATTTATATAGTCATCTGTTTTGTGTTTTTTTATTTTTTTCAAAGTGCTCCTGATCATTCATTTACAAAGGGATTTTTAATTTTAACTACTACATCCATTTTTGGGGCTGCTGAAGTTCAAAAAAGGTGTGATACAAAGCTTTTTGGACGTTAAAATGAAGAAAAAAATTGGCTGTGTGCCTGCAATAAAGCAATTATTGGTGTAGACATGGACTTCACATGCGCCCATTTTTGGTCGAGTAAGAAGATTCTAATATCGACTGGGAGAGATTTGAAGCCTTTGTTTAAGTCAAGTTTCAGCCAATGGGTTGCTGTAGGAATGTAACGAAGAAAGCTTTGAGGGCTAATGGCTAATTCGTATACCACAGTGGCAGCAGATCTGGAGGAATGGGCCACAAGGACAGTCGAGAGGACCGAGGCAGCAGTGGCTACGAGAGTTGTCGCCAAGGCGTCGGAGGAGGCAGCGGTGGCCGCTGCGGGGCGGGTGGTAGCAGTGAGGTCTCTTCCGCTCATACAGACTCTGTAGACTCCTGCTCCTCAAGTTGCCAGCACCAACAGCAACAGCAACAATACCACCTGCAGCAGCAACAACAGGATGTCTATTGTCCTGATCAGCGCCTCTTTCCTTTAAGTCGATCCGCCCTCACTTTCATCTCAAGTAGGTTGGCGTAGTAAACTTGGTAAAATAAGCATCCATTTCTGTGGACCTCCATTTCCCTCTGCTACGTTGTTAAAATTCGTTGGATGTTTTCAATAATTTCACAGATATTTCAATTCAACCATCACTTGTAGTGTTTTAATATTAACCATTCGTTTCTCACAGTCGAATTTCATTAAGTTTTCCATGGGCATTAGGATCTATTTTAACTTTTAAATGTCTTGGTGTAATGGTTAAGAGTTGACAATGTCTACTTGTGTGCTTTCGATTGCTGCTGAGACCTGGCTCTTTAGGTTAAAGAGGGGATGCATTAGTCGCAAACACGGATGACGTTTTCGGTCTACGGTAATCTACGCTTTTTTACTTGCAGAACAACCATTGGCGGGTCCTGGTCATCAAAAGCACCCCACTCCCATGACTAACCTCGGTCAAATGCATTAAGTCCCGATACCAACCCACAGGTAAATTCTTGCTACTTAAATACCTTTCAGTATAACACGACACATCGATTGAGACACCGGGGTTTATTTGACCTAGGGTACCTTCAGGGAAGACTGCAAGTTGTACATTCTCTCGGAAGTCCCAAGCCGCAATCAACTCGATCAGTATTTGCCACTCCTATAACCCCTCCCCTCTCTCTCGCCAGCAAAACAAGGCCACTAAGTCCCATTTCTGGCATTTACGACGTGTCCTCTCTCGCATTACTAGTATACGTTTTCATTCACCTACCTTGCCACTTCTGAAAGTTGTGAAACGCGTCACTCTTAAGGAAAAACCGCGCCTTTGAGGATTATTAACAAGTGTAACTTGTGGTCGTTTGGTGATTAAAGAAGACTGGCGCACACTAAGACCTAAACTAGCTTTGTCACTTAATGTGGACGTGACGTACCACCAGGAACTCGACTTCCGCAGCTGCACCGTGCTGACTCCACACATGCACCATGCATGCTTCTAAATCATGGGAGGAGAGGAGTAAATTACTCACTACCTCGCAATGGCCGAACAGAGACGCTATGGAACTTAGTGCAAAGCGTCAAACCTTGATTAAGATCATGAACACAGACACCGGCATCCGGTATTGTGGTGACATTGCCAACGCATAGTCCAATTTCGGGCACAGTAGGCGGGATCAAAATAGATGCAAGTGGCTGGATCACAGCGGTGGACATTTCAAATTGGTCCACTCAACACAACCGCCTTAAAACGCATTACATAAGGGAATTTGAGTGAACTCCGAAATATCACCCCAAGTGTGGGATCCTCACACATTTTGGGTGGTGGGGCCTCCGAGTCAAGTGAATCTGTGAAAGAAAGCCACACGCACGTCTTAATAGTGATTTCATTGTATACGTCAAAAGCAGTAGGGTGAAGAGGAAGTTTGAAATGCATACGGTAAGGTCGCTGAGAAGAGGCTTGAGTTGAAGACAAAGGGAAAGGAAGGAGCCACTGTGGAGAGCTGAGGAGCAGGACAGTGGAGCAGTAAAATGAGAATGAACATAGGAATGAAATCAACAGCATCTTATCGATATTCAGTCACATATGTATATATCACCACAAATTAGCGCAGCAGTTGCGGTTGAATCAATTGAGGGAGAACGAGTGGGAGGCACATACAAAGGGTAAGGGGAGGGCAACAGAAATCAAATGCAGAAATCCAGCTGCATTTTTACATCATCAGTACCATAAACAGCAGCATAACCATTGTCAGAGATGTTTGTTAGTAGTCTTAGAGCACTGTTCTAGTTAGTAATGCCCACGCACACGCACACATATACGCACACACATGGAAGAAGCGACCGAGTAGAGTGGGGCAGAGTAGAGCCGGGCTAGTGTCGATTGGATATGGAAGATCACAGGTGAAAAAGGGAGAAAGTACGGATCCATACACCCTTTCCTATGAAGGGTTGAGGAGAGGTGGACGAGGCGGAGAAGGAGAAAGACGGATAAGCGGACAACAATATGGGTCGGAAAGACGAAGCACGGATTCCATTATACCTCTGCATCCTTCCCTTTCCTTGCTTCGAGCATACACACCCGCGAGCATCTTGGACATGTACAGCGGAAGTGGATATATGGGTGGTGGTAGCAGTAGTGGCGATTGGGCGGAGGGCGTTATTGCACACATACACGGAGTTCGAGAGGAGGGCGGTTCCGGCACTCCAGACGGAGGGCGCTTGGAGAACGGGTGAAGCAGACAGGCAGGCAGATAGACGAGGGAGCAGGATAGGTAGGTGGATGGATGGAGGAATTGGAAGGGATTGTCGCCGGTTTCGCCGTTACTCGTTGGTTGCGGAGGTTGTCGGAGTGGTGGTACCGGTAGCAGCAGCCTTGCGCTTCTCGGGGGAGACAGGAGTATGCATACGGTCGCTGCTGGTGATATTAACCCCTTCAGAGACGGAGAGCAGGGGCTGCTGCTGACTCGGCCTAGTGGCATGGTGACGCAAAGCGCTGTAGTCCGAGTTCACGCAATCAAATGCCACGAACACGTCTTGTTCCACCGCAGCCAATTCGCTCGAATGATCCAGTGGCGTCAACACTGGTTCCTCATTTGTGAAATCCTAAAAACGTTGAAATCTGATGCATTTAAATCTTCCAGTGAGACAATCCCTGAATTTTGAGACAAATCAGAACTGGGATACAAAAGTCGAAAAAAACAGGCTACATTGTTAGGGTGGAGGGAAAAATACATACCTTATCGAAGTTGGTAGTGTCGAAACGGGAGCGAACTTTGGGTCGGAAGGGAGGACGGATTTTGCGCTCCTCCAGCAATTTCCAGTCGATCTCCCTGAAAAAGGGATGACACTGGATCGCCAACTCACCGCCCTCGGTCATCCCACAGCCCAGCCGTCGGGCCGGCGACTTCAGCAAAAACTAGGCAACACAAAAAAATAACTACTATGAGCTGCTGTCCCAGTCCCGAAAAATCTCAAGGCCCTATTCCTCTTGTACCAAGGAGATATCTCCTCTAACTCGATGGATAAAAATTTTGCGCGCGCCGCGCAGGGGGTATTTTAAGATGCACTTATTCCAGCAGCTTTCAAATGGGAAAAGATGTTACAAATGAAGAGAGTTTGAAAGCTGTGTGAAATATCCTAACTTCTAATGCTATTGGGAAGACGAATGATATTTGTCCATTACAGTGACTCTTTTGAAAATAGTCAGGAATGCCAGTACGCAAAGTGGGATATAGCATAGCTTGCCGATTCATGCACTGATTAACAATAAAATGAACTTAGTTGTGCACGGATGGAACAAAATCACGCGCTCCTTCTTCAGTAGACCAGCCTGGATCAGCAGCACACCAAACCCGGTTACTTAAAATAAACAGTTTCAAATACGAAGAAAAGGTGGTTAAATAGGATGATCATAGATGAAAACACTAAAAATCAAGTCTACTCTAATTTCCATTCGAAAATCTGGGAATTCTTTCGCGCGTATCCACAAATGACCAGCCAGAGCGATCGTTCCTTTGGGGTTCGGAAAATCTGGCTATCAAACTTTTTATAATACTAGGGAAACTGGAGTTGGCAGTTCAGAGGAAGTATAATTCTATTTTAGGATGCGATCTAAATAAGCAAGAAATCAATGGCTGGGCCTAGTATTTACGAAATGACCCAAAAACGGATTGTCAATGTGATCACATAATTATTAATGACAGCGAAGATCAACACACAAGAACGCGCGGTCAACTGTATACCAAGAGGCGCAAAGGTATAAAAGACAGACAAGTCAGGGACTCGTCACTGTATGCACCATTAGCATTATGCATGGGCAATTTTAGGGTCAAATGATGATGCCGGCGGGGGTTATGGTGCTAATGTATGCAGTCCACGACCCGACTGAGGTGGCAACGAGAGACCTATACCTCGGTATCGTCATCAACAACAAACTCGCTAAAGAGGACAGGGCAGACTTAGATCACGAGAAGTTCGATTTACCCCTCAGCAAGCTGCCTATTCGATGAGTCGAAAATTTATCCCGATTAAGAGTAATCTTAGGGGGTAAGATAGCCAGAAAATTTAGCAGAAGCTTAAACACCATAAATCATGGTGCTGGCGACAGAAATTTAAATAGCTATTAATTATGTCCACAAGCGAAGCTATGAAATATATTCCCTCTGGGTGGGCAGCGTGCAGTGAGTAGGTTGGAAGAGAACCCACTTTAGAGAGAATGTCGACGGCATCGTCCTGCAACGACGAAGGGTACTTGACATCACCGTAGGAGATGGCGTTGAAGAGGTCCTGCTCCGTGTCTCCCTCGAAGGGTGGCGCGCCGGCCAGCATCTCATACATGAGCACGCCCAATGCCCACCAGTCCACGCTAAATCCATAATCCTGCTCGGCTAAAATCTAAAAGTCACGTGGGGAAAAGTAGTAGTCATCCAGCTGACGCGCCTACTCCATTAGTCGAAAACACCTCGCCTCAATGCAAACGGAAGGGTTTCCATTCATATTATACCGAGAAGTACACCAAGAAAAAAATCAAACTACATATAAAAACAATTGCGACCATAGCAGACTCATTAAATTAAACGTTCCAAAAAAAGAACTCGTTAGACTAGGGTTTCGACAACACCAACTTAGTCAAAGCACAGATGAAAAAAATTAGAGTAAAACTCTAAACCAAAATAAGCGGTCAAAGCAAAATCTCCGTATAAAGTAGGAAGAATGAATGGACTAATAGTACCTTAGCCGTAAGAAGATGCTCACAACAGTTTTAATAAATCAACCATTCTTCTGTAAATTGAGTGTCTTTACGAGCGAGTGCATATATCCGCCGGGTTCGCGACACAATAAAAATACCGTCACACACACACACCCACAGGAATGCACAACCCATACGCGCACACAAACCTAGACACAAGATCACATTATTATTACCTCACTAGATAACTGGGCGGTCAAACCTTATCATCAGCGTCCGTATTTGTCTGCTCTTATGAGTATTTACGTCCCCAGGCCAGTGGTCGTCACATGACTCCACCGGGTATGTGCGTGCCGCCTCTGCCACGCACCTTGCCCTACCCCACTCTTCACACAAACACAGTCAAGACTGCTAGATTACAGAAGTTATGAATATCCCAGGTTCGGTTCAAACGAACAGCATACACGCTGGAGGTATCTAGCTTGTACTTTGCTAGGAGGACTCTCGGGGTACAAAAGAAAGCTCAAGAGAAGCACAGAGGATCCCCTTGAAAGATGCACGGGAGCTCTACAATCTAAGAAGTAGTGAACAGAGCATGCGTGCATTAATGATGGAATATCATGGCTCCCTTCTGATGACATAAATTGAAGAAGAGGAAAGGACTACCTCAGGAGCAATGTAGTCAGGAGTGCCACAAAAAGTGGAGGTGGTGACACCCGGAAACATGCCCTCCTTGCACATGCCAAAGTCGGCAAGTTTGCAGTGCCCCTCAGCGTCGAGGAGGATGTTGTCAAGTTTCAAGTCCCGATATACAATGAAGTGGCGATGGAGGAACATTAGTGCAAGAATTACTTCAGCAGCGTAAAAACGAGCACGCGCTTCATCAAAGCGACGTGCCCTCTGGATCTGGAACATCAGGTCGCCGCCGTTCACGTATTCCATCACGAAAAATAGACGGTCCTGCAGCCAAAAAAACACCGCTTCATCAGTTTTGAAATACCAATAAGTCCACAGATAGTACCCGCAGGCGATAAGGCGATACCAAGCTAACTCGATGCTTTTAAACACATAAGTTGAAGTTTGCTAGACGACCGAATGTACGCAGTTCAGCAGGTATTAACGACTATGCAGGTAACTGGATGCTGGGATAGGGTCGAAAAAAGCACACTACGCCATTGTCCAAGTTGATGGCTATGCTTTTACTGGTGTATATGACACCATCGCCAACAATGCCTCAAAAGATGGACGAAGAGCTAAGGTGTAGACAACCGACTCAACTAGTGAAAAAAAAAGGTTGTATGTATGGGTTTGAATATACTAAGCTGCACCCACATGTAGAAGGAAGCACTCGAAAAAGATGTTATTTTCCTCACAAAAGTGTTCAAGATGTGAACTTTTGGTTTACAAAGTGGCACAGGCCCCGATCTGGATCCGCATTGAAGCGATAAACCCTTAAATAGTGGGAATCACCTCGGTTTGGAATGAGCAGTAGAGCGCGGTGAGAAAGGGGTGCTGAGCGGCCAAGACGAGGATGCGTCTTTCGGCCATGGTGCACTCCACATCCTCCTCCTGAATGATGACGTCCTTCTTGAGGATTTTTACGGCGAACACCTCGCCGGTGGCACGGTGCTCGGCCAGCATAACCTTGCCGAAGCTGCCTTTGCCCAGCACCTTGAGCAGGTTGAAGTCAGCCAAGCGGGGAATGCGCGGTACGAAGTGCCGACGACTCATTAATGCTGAGCCCGGTCCCACGGCGCCCAGTGTCACCTCTCCCTCCTCGCCCTCCTGCAACCCAATAAATGTGTGCACGCATCGCATCAACCTCTAGCATGGAAAAGGCACTTCTACATTCATTGTCCCCAGGTGCCAGTCTCCAATTTACCGTTTATCGAGACCACTTATTTACCAACCTTCTGAACTTACCTATCGGGGTATGTAGCCGGACTCCAAGTCTCAACATGGGCCTCGCTCTACTACTTGTAACCAATGTACCGCAACTGCGTTTTTTGACTTTTAAAAGAGGAATAAGGGGTATTGCACTATTTGCTCAACCAATCTGCCGGTGGAAGGCAGATGGCTTTAAAGTAGGCCTCGTTGAACTCAGTAGCTCAGTATCTCGATCCATGGTTCATACATGAACGATTTCCACTGAATCTCACACATGAGGTGATATTCATATAAACCGTTTTGTAAACAAAATTGCACAGAAATTCCCCTTCGTAAGCAATCACTTTTCGACTTTTCGATACAGTACGCCACAGGTCGAGTGGTATGTGGAGGTAGTTTCCCGTAGCCGAAATGAGGTTTTTATCACTAAGGCCCAACGACTGTGCGCCGAGGGTTTTTTTGTGCCATTTGTAATATAGACCCCATTTTCCACCCTCTATCAACGTAAATAGATGCGCACCATCACAAAAAGGCAGGGCGGCAGTTTGAATTGAGATCAAGCAAAACGGAATGCCATTTAAAACCACTTCGCCTGGAAATGAATTGCAGGTGAGGGGTGAGAGAGCACTTAACTTTTACAACAGTGTGCACTCTTACCATCATAGAGCTGGGCCGGTGGGCGATCAGGCCATGGGCGACGGAGTCCTTACTCAGGTGCACCGCGTTGAGGTCAGGGACAGCCATGTCAGAAGCATTTGGTGTCGTCGGAGGCATCGGGATGGGTGAACTGAAAGATCTCTCGTGCGGAACGCATCCACTGCTACCGCTAGAGGGAGGAGAAGTGAGAAACTTCTCCAGCGTTATACGTCAAAATAAGCAACCGACTACATTGCTGTGGACACTAACAGAGTACATTGAGATCTTTCGGGTGCTACGACCCTACGGTCATGCTATTCGGTTGAGAAAGAATTATGAAAGTTTAGGACACCCATAGTGAAATCTTGACGCACAATTCAACAATTGGAGTAGGGAAAAAACTACTGCAGGTGCGGCGTAAAGGTACCTCCCAATCTTGTGTGCACATCTATAGGGGACGAAGAGTGCATGCATTGCGCACATGGGAGCGCGCGCAAGCACGTCGACCTCATTAGGTGTTTGTACGCCCTCTATCCCCACCAGAAGCGTGTACGCACACCCACGGACGGATGAAGAGGCGTATCTGTACTAGTGGTGATAGTAGTGAAAGCCGGGCCAGAGTGTACGCACGTTTTAGGGTAAGCCGAAAAACACCTCCATTTCATCCAACTTAAGTGCTACAAAATTTTGATGAACTTCAAGCATAAACACATGCGCCCCATGGCCACCAACGCAGCAGGTGTAATACGGGGGTGGAGGGTATTAGGAGGGTGGGAATAAACTCAAGATTACGCCTGAATGCAATACAACTATTTCAGAGGGCTGCCACGGCCCGAAATTTCCAAGATTTGTGATGAAATACGTAAATGATATGCCGGAAATATCCATAGATGCCTGGCGTTTAATGAAACGACAAGTGTCAAAGCATGAATGGTACATGCAAATGACATGAGCCGGAGCTAACGTCATATAATTTAAAGGCAGATGTCGTTAAAAGTAGTGGTGCAGATCAGTAAAAGTAACATGTAGGAGCCATTATTGTAAGCTAGTATTCAGATCGACTGTAGCGAAGGGAGACCCTTACGCTTCTCCATTCGCAAAACAGTTGATGCCCCTTCTGAAATTGGGAGATGATAAGACAGATGTATAAAAATGTACACTGCGTCTGCTAGCGTCATATTCATACGGTCAAAATTCGAATTGGTCTGTCGTTCGCGATTTCTAGACGATTCACGCCGAGGTGTAAGAAAATATTGCTTCGATAAAAAGGACTGCCCACTTTTAAAAAGATAACAATAACAATGATAATATGACTTCGCCATCCGGTGAAGTGAGGTCAATATTGAAATGGGACCGTAGTGGGTACCATCTATTAGCAACAGGAACACAGGAAAAGATTCAATTGGGAGGCTTAGTACAATACCAACACAAAATTAATACTCATTTGAGTAAGAGGAGCAAGCAAGCATTTCTAAAAAAGCACCAAAAGTGGTTTCTGCTTTTACAAAGGTAAATTGCTGTAAAAGTATTGTGAGCTAGATCAGAATGGATGAACATATCCGCAAACTTGCGATGCTGCTAGCAAGGAATGTACCTTGAATCTTATAAAAAAGATGTAAGTGAGGTACTAAGTAACTAGTATAGCTGATACCGGGGATAGCGGAGTATAAACTCGAGCAAAATGAAGTGCCGGTGGACACAAGCGAGCCACTGCTGACAATTAAGCACACGCTAGGCTAATGTTGGGGAAATTGAGGACGAACCGGTTATAGCAGTCGTACAGTCTTGTGACTTGGTAGATCGGTACATTATTCATAGATCAACTTGCAATCATCCGGAGAAGCCACGAGGAAAACATGGATGAGATTGATTCATTTGTCATTTCACTGCAGAGGGTTTGGCACCATGCTCTAGACAACCCACAGAAGCGGAAGCGTGTAGGCTTACCAGGGGTAGAGCTCGGAAGCTTTGAGGTCGTGGTGCGTGGGAGCGGAGCGCACGGAGACCTCGGCGGCGCTGGCGGCAGCGACCGCCTCCGCGCTGAGACCGAGGTCGGATGGGTTGAGACCGCACTCGCGGATGGCGGTGATGAGGTTGCGCGTCTTCACGCCACAGTGCGAAGCCACGTTCTTCTCGCAGCGCCGATGGATATTCGCCTTGCAAACCTCGCATTGCAGGCCCTGACGCATTATACCAAAGAGGAGAGAGCCACAGTGCTCGCAAAACGTCGGCAGCATGTACGTGTGCACTCGGAACTTATGCGGCACGTTAATGTTGAAACGATTCTGCAATGGATGTGCACAATGAGATTAGGCCATGATCTAGGAGTCAGCCAAATGCTCGTCGAGATGCTGAGACAAAGAAGGACAGCACACACCCAAATTGAACCATAGAGATACTCGAGCAAAATCGTGATAGCTGTGAAAAAAGGCACCAGACGAGTAACAGATCTTGATCTGAAAATCGAAACAATCTAAGAAATTGGGTCATTACCAGTCTCAGTGCAAGCCAGCGCATATTTAAATACAAACAATGGATTAGAGAAGAATTCAACGCGTGCTATTGAAGGAAGGATAAAGGCGAAAAATAAACTCCTCCTAAGAAAACTAAATGCCTTCGTGAACAGTTTCCTGATTTTGAAGGTATGCTAGTCAGCAATTAAGCAATAAAATTTAAATAGCATTCTTTATTTTCCTTTTTTACCAGTAGGACAACCATTTACGCTTCGAAAAACTCCCAAAACCATAGACCTTCTGTGGTTGGGAATTTTCACATGGTCAACAGATTGTTAACTTTTGGAATCGCAGTCCTGAGGATTTAGCTTTGTTTGGCAGTCTTACCTCGCAATCGAATGAGTGTCTGAACATCCGGAGTTGGAATTTTAAGGATAAGCTTCCTACGATATGGTTTAAAAAGGTTTGCAGAAAGAGAAAAGTGTGCAAACAGTGCATGTGAGATCCAGACACATGAACACATTGGTTAATATACTATTTCCTGTTTTTTTTCCCACGTGGCAGTCTGTCCATACACTGGCACGTGCCATGCGTAAATATCGTTCGACTCTGGTTAATTTAAAGTGAATCCAGTTGGCCACTGTCTGCACCCTGCTAGGAATTCCAACCATTTAAGCAAAATCATCCAAGTAAGATAAAGAAGCCTCTTGTTTTGGGAATGTCTGAGTCTGACATGTGAATAGGAATGCCCTCGGACTTGTTCATTGAAGAAGTATGTAACGATTTTATGAGAAAGAAGGCGACTTATTTACATACTTTTACATATCTTTAGAAAACGTCGAAATATTTAGGTTTAAATCAAGCCAGGGAATAGTAGTGTCTCTTGGGGGAGTGAAAGTGATCAGAAGTGCTCTAATTTATTGATGGACAGAGAGCATATTTCGAGGAAGCAGACTGATAATTGAGAAGGGAGAAATGCACCAAGACCCTCTTTATCAGCAGTCTAGTGGGTAAAGACAGTGAGGGTAATTTATGTTCTTGCAGAAACGAGATTACCGAAAAGGTTGCAGCATAGCTAGAACATAAACAATGTTAGGTAAACACAATCACGAACGTACAACGGAGCCGATTAATCATTTGCAATGCAATTCCTTAAAATGTTATAAAGCAGTGGCTCAACACACCCGATGCGATGAATCTGCATTCATAGAAAATGCACGAAAAGTGGCCTCTGCAAAATTAAGATATTAATGAACACAGAATAAATACACTTTAATTCAAGGCTTCGAAGTAAAGTGGATCGCCACGGAGGAGATACATGGAGGGTGGATAATTCTGGAAATAGTTTATGCAGAGTCCGTAGGACCAAAAACAATTATTCACGAACATTAAAAATGAGAACTTTTTGAAGAGTGAAGCGAAAACCGACAAATTAGTGAGCTATGCATCAAATTGAACTTTAGAATCAATGGCGCGTGATAGTTATTTTAGAGGAGCCATATGAAGCTGAACTAAACGAGGTACACAAGATTAATGCGCATATCAAGCCGGTCGTAATGACAGCAAAAAAACGCCATGCTACGACCAATCAACAGATTTGAGACGATGAGTGAAAACAATTCGTAGATAATCTTTAAGAAAACTTCGGGCCGTCAACACACTGTAATCCATCAAGGGCTTATCCGGATGGATATGGCAAAATGCTGCAAAGTGCAGCATAGAGACAAGCGCGCACGCGTATACAGACTCTATTAATAGGGTGAAGAAGCGTAAAAAAGGCACGCGAAAGCACACTAATTTCCCTCCCCATAGTTCTCGCCGGACCTCCCGCTTGTGCGTGAGCGAGTGCGCGCTCACGTGCGTTCGTTAATCAGCTCGCCCGCCTGCCCAAATGCCCGCTCATTCGGCCGTTCTGGCTCTATCTGGTCGACAACATTCCCCTGGGAAAGACTCGAATTATCTATCTTCAAAATAGACCTCAAAAGAGTAAGAGAAGGGCGTCTCTTAAGCTGCTAACCAGCGCAATAACCCCCTGCGAAAGATCATGTACCTGGGAAAGAAGTTGCAATAGGCACAGATACTTCAATTATCCTTACATTTATCTTTCAAAACAAAAGTCAAAAGTAAACCCACTATCTGCGAAATGCTTAATTCCGCAACAGGCCCTGCTTGAATTCTTCCGAAACATCAGGTGTGATCTAGTGGCAATAGGCATTCACCGGCTGAAAGTTTGAAGAACTTCACTGTGAATAGTTTGTTTACTTGATACAGTACTGAAAAACTATTCGAAGATAGTATTCTCAATGGAAGAGTACAACTTCACAACAAGAAAAAAAGCATAACAAAATCAATCAAAATTAGGGATTTTATGCCCTTCTTCACAGTACCCATTGGTAGCTCCAGTACACAAAATCTTGTTTTTGCTTTGATGACCAAACATGATAATGATTACAAAAGTTAACCTGTAGTTGAGCGCACTACTGAGTATCTAGCACGACTCAGTCTGGGGCAGATAAAACCTCAGCATCTTGTGATAGTAACAGAATGATGCATCAGTGCAAAGCACCGCAAATCCAAAAGGGTTTGTCAGATTGCCGGGATCGGACTTGTTTCCCAAGTTCAAATGAGAATTCAATGTACATTATGAAGCAGGGCAATGCAGGGATTAGATAATTGATGGGTTATAGGGGAGGGAGGGCCGAAAATATTGAAATGAGGCCTCGAACACTGAACACGTAAAAAGTAGAAAACGAGGTTAGAAAAGCCGTAGTACTCACCTCTCAGGAGACCACAATTGCCTGTGCGTGCGAAAGGCAGAGGGAACGAGTAAAAGTGGTTGATACGAAGCAAAAATAATCAAACATTGTAGAACGCATATATACACATAATCCGCATGGCAGAAAAAGGAAACCATTGATAATTACCTGAAGAACTGCGTTGGAACCCGTAGATGGCGCCTTGACGCCTGGACACTGAGTAATCACGTTCTGATAACAGCGCTTGTGTACCACACAGGTGCACACCTGACACTGGTAGGCCTGGTTCCATAGGCCCCAGATGAAGTCATTGCAGAGGGAACAGAAGGTGAACTGTTTCAGCACCGTAACCTGCAAATGAGAAGACATCAGTGCAAACTACCAACGTGGTAGTTCCCAATAAAAACAGCATACATCCAGTAAACGACGGCAAAATAAGCCTCAGAATCCACAACAGATGGCACGCCCATAACTGCATTATTCTTTTTAACTACATCTGATTTTTAAGAGATAAAGTACATAAAATGGGTAGGATTGTTTCCCGCCAGCAGTCAAAATAACAACATCACGAAATGCAAAGTTTTTTGGGGATTGCTGGAGCATTGTGAATTGCCTTTCAGGAAATAAATCCATGTTCAAGGTGAGGGGGCGAAACACAGCAAACTGTGATGATGCTTTACTGACGCAATCTGTTGTGTCAAATTGTTGGGCAAAAAAGTGATCTAGGTCTTCTCGCAGGCAGTAAGCATAGTTTACAAGGCACGTTAACTACCTTTATGACTTCCCAGGCTTATACTATGGTTTGGCAACCGGATATTCTACCAAGGGGTAATTTCAGATACCACAGATGAGGATGGCTATCAATCATGGTTTAATTCAGAGGCAAGCAGAAACTCCAGCTACAAATTCTTCTGGGAAATTTGAAAATGTTACGCATATTGCTGAAAAAGATCCGCTCACGCACGAGCTTTTCTTTTCACTTGCAAACAGACATTTTGATAGTTGATAGACGTTACACGGTATAAGCACATGTGTGGAGTTGATTATGAAGAGTATTTTTACATTCAAGTATTTTATACCGACTTCTCCATTAAAATCGCACATATTGATGGGTATATCGGGAATTCCAAAAAACTGCGTTAAAGGAGACAAACAGCTACACGCTATTGTTGACGTCAATGGGTTTTGTTCTGCAAAATATTGGTCAGCACAATAAACCAAATCAATTAGTTGTAAAGCTAAATAATAGTAAAGGAGTAGATTACTATGCTCTTGCTCGATTTCCTAGCATGAGTAAAGCGGCAGTGTATCATTAACTTTTCTGAGGAAATGGTAATGGTAAATATTGATGCAGAACAAAGCGATACTTCAAAACAGTTAACCATGCAAATTGCAAAAGTTATGACCAGCAAATGTCTGCAAACTGTTGCTTTGGTACACACGTGCTTGTCAAGACAAAACCATGTATTCCGAAAAGCATTTGCATAAAATGCATTGATATAAATAGATTCAAACCTGAAATTTATGGCCTTTAGCTTGGTGAATCCGCCTTCGCAAAGCTCCCGCTCGATAATGCTTCGCATGGAAGACACCCCCACTGGCAAGAGAATTATCCTTATCAAAGGCCAACTTCGGAGGTTCATCTGTTCGTGTGCCAATGAGATCAATCTGCAACTTGAGCCGCCCTTGGGGTTCTAGATCCAGCCAAAACTCGTTGCCAGCACGGACATTCCGCATAAGGAGTTCAGCGATGGCCACGAAATCATCGGGCGGGATGGCGGCATCGTGGTAGACAGTGAAAGTAAGCCGCTGCGCACTGGTCACCTCCGCCTTCACGTCTTCCTTCCAGCGCGGTGAATTTGTCTTGGACTTGGTAGAAGTTTTAGCGATGGCGAGATCGTCTACCTCAATAGTTACGTAAGGATCTAGGAGCTCATAGAGCTTGGCTGCCGGACCCACAGCATGACGCGTGGCGCACGCGGTCGCCTTCAACTCAGTTGCCTCGATCACTTGAATGTGGATCGTCCCCGAGAAATATTCCATCCCACTTATATGTGAAGCTGGACTAGTAGAAAGAAATAAATACCGAACCGGCAAATCAGCTAATTGAACACAAACCCGAGATCATCGTATTATTCAGATTGCACAGTTCCACCACAATTGGGATAAACCCTCTCAAAAGTGTGGCTGAATTCACGTTGGTTTCGTGCATATATATACTCACAAATATGTATATAATCCACAAAAGTGACATGAAATATATGCTAAAAAGGTATTAACTGTTGATAAAAGTCGTGTTTGCAGAAAAATTTATCGTAGGTACGATCCACAAATACGTACAAGAAGCTGAATAAATTTGGAAAACCACGAGATTGTGCCTGCCTTAAGAAGTGAAACCAATAAGTACTGCAGACATACCTATACTGTGATAAAACTACCTTGTAAATTAAAGTGCGTACTACAAATAAAGACAATATATGGACAATTTCTCATATTATGAACCAGATACCTATCCAATAACCATCGTGATTTCAGAAATCGTTCCCGAAATCTAAACAGTAAGCCACAGTAAGGCTGAACCCAGCTCACAATGATGTCATAGTCGCTTGGAGGTTTGTTCCAGACATATTTCAGAGTTATGAATATTCGAACAAACTATAACGTGGTTCGCCAAAACGTAAATAATTGCAGTGATATAAAATAGCCGTAAAGATATATTATTTCCACATTCACAGTTATTTAACACGCTATGGCGGAACAGCACCATAAAGGAGCGCCAATCAAACATACAATCAATATCAGGATCCTCGCTTGTAAGAGCTAGACGAATCCCACCGAGCTGCAACAAGAGTAAGGAAAACGACCAACCAACGTTAGCCCGACATGCATTGAAACGCGCGCCACGCCATTCCTACAACTCACGTCACTTTAGAACGATTCTTGAAAAGTAGATTTTGTAACAGACGAAAACCATCATGCTAGTCAAAAAAACAAATGCAAATGCTGCCGGTTTTGTTCGAAACATTAAAGGCTCTTTAAAATGCACATTTAGGAGGGAGCTTATAATCAAATCGAAAAGAAACCTCTTTGTGTCTTTTATAATTAAAGGTTAAAAGAGGTTTATAATTTAAAAGTCTAATAATAAGCACAAGCGTTTAGTTATACCATAGTAATTTGTAAGGATAGTAAAGGCTAATTGCACACGGATTTTTTACAAAAAACCGAAACCGTCTCTACAACTGTTTGCATGGCAATAAATTGAGTTGCTCAGAATTTTAGTAATCTGAAGGTAGAAAGGGTCCGCTTGGCTAAGTTTATTGTGTGGCGTATGCAGTAGAAAGGAATGTAATAAACTTCTCTCACAGTTGTCAAAGCAAATATCGCTTCCATTTAAATAATTTATATAAGGTTAGATGCGATTATTTTTAATATTGTGCAATCATTGACCTTTTAGATATTGTTTGCACAAGCAATATTAATAATCTTTGACTGACCTTGAAACGTTTAAAATAATAGATGTCAATGAGCCCGATTTGAGATATGCGGTTGTGTAGTTTTTAGTTTTCGTCCTCTAGTTCCCATTTATATTTTTCTCTCCTTAGCGCATTTTAATAGTTACACTCTTGTCTATCGTGTTTTAGGTTTTTTGCATTTTTTTTGTCTTGCGATAGTCCCTTTTGTTGCCACTAACTTTGTCTCCTCGCATGTGTTGACTTCACGTTCTTACTTGGTTTCGAGTTTTAAGTACCAACTTAAACCTAAACCTAGTAATTTTTGTATTTATGGCTTTTTGTTTTCATCTAAAACTCTCTTGTGCGTTGTTCCTTTCCATTTTATCACGCGGAGCTAATATGATTCCCCGAGTTAGTCGCATTTGATTCTACACTTATGCTATCTTTGTGTTACTCTGCACCAGTCATTATCTTGTTTAGGTCTTTTTCTACGATTAGTGCACTTGGTGTTAGTAGTCTGTTGTATTATGGATTCTTTTTTACGTAACTAGATATTCGGGGCACGAAGCTATTTTTTAAAATAAAAAAGAGGATTTGTTTTGAATATGCCCAATTTACGTACCGTGTTTAGCTGATTTTTAACTGTTGGGTTTGGTGATTAAGTCGCTTTGTGCTTTTAGTAATTCTTAGTACTGTTTAATTTTACGGTTGTTTTAGGGTCTGGAGCTTTTTGGGTCTTATCTTTTACATTTGGTCTTTGTACATGCTTACGCTGCCTGCGACAGCTTATTAATAGTTTTGGTTAGGTTATGGACGTATAACCCAGCAGTGATACAGTTCTATAGTTTTTGATTTCGAATTCTAAGTATTTAATTCCACGTCATCCTTTGTTTGATCCCATTTTAAATTCTGGTGGTGAGATATGCGCAATATTTGTTTTATCACTTTTGTAATGTTCCATATAGTTATTCTTATGTTTTAGCTAAGTCGGTTACTTGCACATCAATGATTCTTCGGACATGTTTGATACCCGTTCTCCTAATTTATTCACTTTTGCAACCAGTCTTCTTATTTGGTACTTCTGATTGTCCCATCATTCAAAGACAATGGACAGACTTTATTGGGAATCGTGGAATATCAAACAGAAGATGTAATTCGGAATCCTTTTGTTCATTTCTTTATAGTTAATGAAAATGTGTGTGGTGACATGCATGATGGAGCTTCTCGCACCTGTTGCTCTCGTGAAATGTTGATAGGTATGGCTGAAGCAAGTGAACATGAACTTAGAAGATTATTGAATAACCTGCTGGAAACAACCGCTGAAAACTTTCGCAATGATACTATTGTTTTGAAGTGTAGGTGATTCTTCTTGTCACCTACGTTCATTTAGCGTTCGTTGCTGATACTCTCGGTACAATAATGGAACAGTTACATAGCCAGCTGCGTACCGACTTCAGCTACAAGTTCAGATCGCATGAACAATTCTTCATAAATTTCTTCTCTACTATACAGTTATACTTATCCGGCACTGTGGGCGGTCTTCCGCACTTGGTGTCCTCGTTCTTTGATGAACTTCTCTGGAGAATCACTCAAATCCTCTTGAATACAAATTCAACAGACAATTACACGAAGTGTGTGGTCGACTCACTGAGACCCAAGCAGCCCTTTCTCCGATTTCCCTCAATCATCACAAACATGACTATGGAGGCTTTTCCACCCATTCGTGCGGCAATAAACTCTATGGCCTTTGCTCGAGAGACGCTTCTTGCTGCTTCTATCACTGTTAGTTTGCCATCATTGTGGTACTGTCTTCACATTAACCGATAATTTACTATCCATCGAACACTTCTACGTATTTTGAACTTTCGAGAATCAATTTGATTATTCTTCAGTTCCCATTAAATTTATCATTATTTTAGTTAGTTTTATTATGGTTGTTTCGAATTGGTTTTTTAAGTCTTGCTTAATTCAGGGACTCTAAATGTTTCGACTTTAAAGCAATGCCGGTCTAATAATTTTTCTTTTATCCTGCACTAACAAACAATTACTAAATGTCATACAGATACATCTCCCACGGGAATGTTTTGATGAATATCAACGTCTCAAATTCTGCAGTCTCTGTGCTGGCATTATGAATGCCAGTTTGTGCGAATCTACTTGCGTTCGGTTGGCTGAAACGTGCACACCCCAGCAATTGGCTTTGGGCACACAATGGAAGAAGTTTATTGGTAAGTTATTCCCTCATTACACTCGAAAGCTTTCTGCCATTTGTTTGTATTAACTATCTTTGAGCTACCATTTCCTTTACACATGTATAGGCTACTTTTATCTCGCTCACCCAGTTTTATTTCTAGTAAGAGAGCTCAAAGCATCTTAATTGCATGGTAAAATGCGTTGAGTATGTCTTCAACTAAGCAATGACTAGTATTGAGATGTTTGTAACCAGTAAAATAACACTGAGTTTTCGTAATTATAACCGACCCGCTAAGCAAACCAGACTTGATGCTTGGCATTCGAATGTAAGTTGACACATTTGTATAAATCAGTAATATTTCTTATTCAATGAAACTAATTCCTTAACCTTAACCTTTGTTTATCGTTTCGGTGATATCAATTATTTTAAACCACCCATAGCCTTCGTGAAGGCTCCTTTAGTTCTAATTAGATCTTGGCCCTCGTTTGTTTGAAACAGAAGCATACGTAGACTTGTTGTTAACCTGAAATACAATTAGAGGCGACAAGATCTCTGCATCTGAATTGAGTGCATGGCGTGCAAGATTAGATGTGCAACTACCCATTTTCTGATATTTCTTACCGGTAAAGTTTTCATTTTCCAATTCGCCCCATTAATGGACCCTAATCGCCCAATAGTCCCGAAATTCCGTCCGGTCAACGAAAATGAAATCTTCTGAGCTCTTGTAAGGAGAGGCTTTGTGAGGGAGCAGATTAGCAAACTGCTATGGAATTTCCAGTCATTCAAGCTGTCTGGGCCTTAGTATTAACTTCGCTTTAATTGGCATTAGCGTCGTTTGTTGGTGGATTAGTCCATCACAAGCTCTGTTGTCTATTCGATGATTTCCTCTGTATACTTTATATTCGGTTCTTTAAAATTGAACTGCGTGGTAAATCGGATCATTTAGTTTTTTGTAAAATTTCAATGCTAGAATTACTTTGATTAAAACCGTACGATTCGATGGTTTACAAAGCCGTGTTCTCAAATACGCCTCCCATTCTATCTGCTGAAAATTAATTTTACTGGAATTGTGAATTAAAAAACGGAAACAAATTCTTGGCCTTGGGTACAAGATGGACAGATTGTGGATTCTTTGTGAGGTTTGTTATTCAATCCTTCAACCAATCGGTGTAAGGTGATTCGTGCTTCAATCGCTTTAGATAGTGATGGGCAAATTTTCATTGGGGAAAGAAATTTTTGCCCTACTTTCAAAAAAAGATGCTGAAATATCAAAGTTTTCACACTTCTTTGTTTGGGGTGTACACTCCATGCAAAGGACGAACCACTCGCTACATTCATGCAGAAGACAAGCTTGGAAGTTTGGCATATATTGTAAGGGACTGAACCTCTTTTAATCGCTTGCTCTACGGTGCAAGACAAAGTCATTGTGAAAGCGGTGTGCCTAAAGTCACCCACTTTTTCGACCTAATCGCTCTTCAAATCGCATTCAACTGCTTTATCTCAGGGGCAGTGTAAGGAACTCCGTTTAAACCCGGTGGCTGTCATAGGGGTTCTTACACTCTGGTCCAACATTTTTATCAGCCGGTTCTGCTCTTGCGAACACTTATGCCTTTTCAAATGCCTCAGCTTCATTTGAATGTTAACCGGTTGATTACTTATGCTTCGTTTGTTTTTTTTTTGTACTCATCGAACGGCCGCGTTAACGTTCCGATGCTGTTGTCACAAATTACGCCCCCTGTCACCATCAAAAAAATCCCTTTGATGGTCCAATAGTGCGCACGCGTATAGCATAATGCTACATCCTATATATCTCACAGTGGTTTTGATAGTAGTACCTAGAGGTGCTTATTTGTCGGTAGCAGTGGTGCCAAGGATTACTCGATCATCCGCTCCAGCGTCTCTCATAAAATATCAGATATCAATTCGCTTCTTTTGATAAAAATATTGTCATTGTTATGTGAACATTTGCTCTTCACTTGGGATCAATAGATTGAATTTTCCCACCTAAGGGATATCTTATCTATTAAATATTTTTCAGACGTAGTCAGTCTTCGCATTCCTGGTCTACTTGCAGCATTGCTTTTGTGCAATGTTTGATACTTGTTCTAGTTTGAACTGCATTTTTTAGATGGAGTTTTATTCTAAAATAGTTCTTTCAAACGGTTTTTATGGATATGGCTATCTACCACAGTGAGTCAAAGTTTCTTCTAGTTGCGGAGGTGCTACACCTTGTGGCAAATTTCCTACACATGATTGCTTTTATAAATGTGCGCACCCACCCACTTTGTCCGATTATAGAGATCTCGTCAGTAATTTTTTACTCTCAATTCTACATTCTCCTCTACTTATGGAGTTTAGCGTAATTTGTAAATAATCCATGGATAAAATCTGTGGCATGACATTTCCTTTTGCCCTTGTTTTGGCACGGATGTATATTCGGTAGCCCGATTTCTTAAGTGTTCTCGATGCATTTCCTGTCTAATCTTGCGTGCCGTATGTAATTTTCACTCAAGGATCAAGGATAAATTTTTCCTGCAAATCACCTAGAATGAATCTACCAGTGTAATTGAACCTATTTCCTGCTAGGTTAATGCTAATGCCTTGAGTCTTTCTATTCTTCAGCTGCCTTACAAGAAGTTATGAATTTGGTAGACAAGTTTCCCAAAGTCCACCGTCCCCTTCAGATGCATCTTACAGATGCAATTATGAGTCTGAAGTCGGTCTACAGTCTTCATGAACAGGAGGTATGTTATATATCCTTTGTAGTACGTAGACTCTCTTTTCTCATTATTGCTCCGATCTTTACACAGAGTTTTGTCTGACATATTACTTTACTTTCATATCTATATTGGAACTATTTAAAATCATGAGCAGATTGAGTCGTAGCCTTCACGAGTAGGGCCTCACCATGGACCCCTCACCAAACTCTTAGCATAAACATGTTTTAAAACGACTGGCAAATCCCGTGTTTGCACCGTTAAATATCTAAAGGATATTTATTTTAAGGAGTCAACTAACAAACATGGTTGGCTGAAGTATTGTGCTGCTAGTATTTTACGCAAAAAAACGCAGAAATGCATTTTACTTCCGTTTAAACGTCTGAGTCAAGCAGATCTTGTGCAGACTTTCTCCACTGCGTAAGAGCAGACAGTATCTCTTCCAGAAATGGAATGTTATTTGACCTCGAAGTGACCTTTACAGAGTGTTGACAGTACCTGCTAATTCGATGAATTTTTCGGCTTTTGAATGGTAGACAAAGTAGAAAACTACAGCTGGTATTTAACCGCATTCCTCACTACCTGCGAAATGTCGCGCATCTCGGTGACGCCATCTCCCCCTTTTCCAACCTTGCTCCATGCTACTATTCGTCTGGCATTCTTTCTGTGAAGAATTACTTCGCTTAACCTCATGGTTGTAGTATTTCACCTGTCTAGAACACCCACGGCTGTCTCCTTATGGCATTATTCAATCTGGTGTGCAATTCTCTTTATCTTGAAGCTCTGATACAACTTGCTACTCTCTCCTGACCAGCAACAATCACTTCAGGTTGTTCATTTATGCTATTACCTGTAGATTAAGTCGTAATGCCACGTTAATTGCTTGAGAAAGAGTTAGTGCATGCAAAGTAAGTCTTTTGGGTAATATTAAGCCCTACGTGCTGTTGTTACTTATTTCAACGCTTAAAAGTGTCGAGAGCCCTCCAAATGTTACCCTTACAATGTTTTGACGATATAAACTCGCTATATCGTAGCAACTTATGCCAATTGTAGAGGAGATAACAGGTACGAGAAAAAAATGAAGTCTTTCCACAGAACGATAGTTTTAATTGTGGCTAACAAAGAAGCACAGCCGGCCACTCACAATAGCACCATCCCGATTAATTCCCATTAAGCAAGCACTTTTCACGAGAATTGGGGCGGAGTTGGATTGCCGAACTAGCGTTCTTCACGGTTAATTTGAGCGTTTAATATTCGTAATTTGCATTGAAAACGTGGAAAAGATAGTTTGGTAAGCGCCAGTTGTGCACTGCTTGCCAAACAGCGTAAAAAGCTTCATAAATGTGCGCCCATTTCCAGATTCTTCCATTTGGAAGTTTCTGCCAGATGAGCGCAACTAAGTGGTTTATGTGGGAAATAACACTACCATTTCACATCCACACACGAAAAGACACTCGACTTTTCTGAACGAGCAAATGGACATGGGTTTAGCAGACAACTGTCTCCACAGCAGCTGGATATAAAGTACATTCCCAGCAATAACAACTAATGTTCTTCACAGTCGTTTGCCATCCCGCGCGTTAAGTGTTTATGTCTCGTTTCGCCGGTTTGTGGTGGACATGGAGGGAGTTGAGGGGGACAGCAGAGCGGTTGACCTCGGCTCCCCGATCGCTTGATATTCTGTCTAATGCAATCCAACCTACTTCAAAATAGAACCTGCCTCTAGGAGTCAAACTTCTCCTTGTGCTCTCTTTTAGACTTCCTCGTTGTTGTCGTCATTCTTTCACTCCAACGTTGGGGACGACAAGCCTTTTTGGCGATGCACCTTTTAACATCCAGTCTGATGTTATGCGCGACATTTGATTCCAACAAAAGAATAGATCTATCATTTTAGTCCTTTTGTAATCTTTTCTTTCCTGTAAAGCCCCTTGAAGCTTGTTTCTTGAAAGCGAATTGGCAGCATAAAAAAGGGCTTTTTTCATATCACACAGATTCTCGGAAACTGCTCGTCGTCCTTCTCCCAAGGCGAGAACGTCACAAGTGCGAGCGCTGGTGACAGTGGCCGTGAAGGAGGTGGTCGTTGGCCTTTTAGTGGTCATCGGCGTGCGCGGCGCCAGTCGCCCGTCATCTACCATCAACCATTCAGTCCTCTGCGGCCCCACGCCTTCGAGGCGAGGCCTCTACCAACGGTGGCTCTTGGTGAACAAGGCATCGCTAGCCTCCAAGCCTGGGCGCGCGATGTCAAACACCAAGTAGGTTCCTCTCCCTCTGTTCCCTTCTGCGTCCTGATGCGTGTATACGCGTGGGAATTCCTTTTGAAATGTGTGATTGTTGGAGAGGAGGAAAGGGTGCAGATTACACCTGCTAAACTTCATTGCACCTTTTTAATATTAACTTGGTGGTACCGCACACACTGACTTCGTTTTTACACTAACATAATTTATTCCAATCTTTATAAGGAAGAGCGCGCCTTCCGACTTGTTTCGTAACGCAGATACTAAGCACTTTTAAAGGTCTGTATATGTGTGGATGTGTATGAAACCTTTATATCCTTGATCGTGCTTTCTGAGGGAGAGGAACCCGCGACGAAGGGTAGCAATTTTCACGTGGTGTTGCCTCTCGTACACTTCATTTCCAATGTGCATATCCCGATTGCATGGAAACTTTGATGGAAAGTCCTTCTTTGTGGGTCTTTTTGTTGATTGTCAGAATAAGCAATTATATATTGCAATAGCATTGCCGAATGGAATGAGGGCTGCGATAATTGATGTTATAATTTAAATCTCATCTTTGATTTTCACCCTAACACCTTGGCATTTAAAACAACTAGGACTGTAACTGTGGATGCATAAGTTTTTTTTCGTTAGCAGTACTTTATTTTGGTGAAGCGGTCGCTTAGCCGCTGAACAATTAGGTCAAAGGGCTTCAAGTAGAAGGGCAACAGAAGATAAGGTTGTACTAGTTGATGAAGCATCCCAATAATTTGTGGCCTTTACCTAAGTGCAGTTTGTTTTCCTAGACTTAACGAATAACTTCCGTTTATTAATTCGATGTTACTTGCAGTACTCATTCATGGTTTAAGGTCTCTACTTACTGGAACCCTATTGTCTGTGTTATCACCACTTTCCAGCCATTTGTGGATTATCAATGACCACGATAGTTTTACTCGCTAGCTCACAACATAGGCCCATTGTTACATTTGGTACATCACTACTTCCTATTTCTGTTTATCCCTGAAGGTAAACTAGTTAAGCATCAATGCCGGGAAATTCACAGTAGTGTATTTTTGTGAGCGCGCCTACCCAATCAAATGGTAGCATGTTTCGTTCATACTGGTCAGCTCACGGATTGGCCACCGGTAGGCTATAGAAGATGATAAAGCCTCCTCTGCCACTCAACCCGGAGTTTATTTTTGGGTAGATTCGATTGGAGGGGAGGCGTAGTGACTACAAGGTGTGTGTTTAGGGGGAGAGCAGCATTGATGCTGATAATGCGCCCCTCGATGTAGCAAAATGCCACCCTGATCAGGCTCTGCAGTCCCCACTTCAGATGTGTTAACCTACCATGTGCCGTACTTACTTTGGCCTCCACTGGGAGTTTTTACTTTTTATGTTCTTTGATTAATGGGGAAAAAAGTTGAGGCTAAGCGCGGGGGCTCAATACGTCAGTTTTTTGCCGTGCGTTAAACGGCGCCGGGCATCCGACATCAATACCCTTATCTGCGGGTGACATACAGACATGCTAGTCAACACACTTTCAATAAATACGAACAGTTAGAAAGCATACTGTATTGGTTTATCACTTTGATGCCAAAGTAATTTTCCTTATGCTTTGAGGGTGAAGCTATGGGGCTTTAAGGTTCTTCACTAGCTTTAGATCCCCCGCTTCACACAGTGAAATTGCACGTTAAAGTCAAAGTTGCATTTTGACTTAGTTAAAGCAGACTTACTTGGATATAGTTGCATTTGTTTGGGAATTGGGATAACTGTCAAAATGGATACATTCCTACTGGCGTCTCTAATGCGGTCTCGTTGACACTGATTAGCCTCAAGATTCTCACCGAAAGTCGAATGCAGGCGTACCGGTCTCTTATAAATGAATGATTCAATTATTACTCCCTTCGGATAGTAAATTGGTAAAAGTAATTCTTTGTAATTGTGAAAACGCAGCTTAAGCAAATGGTTTATGTTGGTAATGCGGTTTACAAGGTGTCTTGACTGCGCTTCTTATAGTGAAATACAATGTTAATTGTAAAAAAGGGCTCGTGACTGCGAGAAGACAGGGTGATTATAAGCAGCGTGAAGCAGTCGTTCTTCGCGGTTAACCTTTCTCCCCTTTGGTTTCAAAAAATGAGTTCAGCTAACAGCATCTCTTCTTTCTGCCTGTTGAGTCTATCTCCGTGCCAGATGGAGAGAAAATGCGGTGCCATGCCTCCTGACAGTGGTAGGATAAACTTATTTCAGGCCTCCCACGACTCCCCTGATTGTAATCCCTTTTCTTGTTGCTGTTTTACCGCTGGGGCTTCCCGAATTCTTTAATCTGGTTCATTCGAGGCACGCGTCGGTCACCTAACTTACCTTTTCCATTTCTGACCATCCAATTGTTGAATTGACTATTAGCATTGTCCCGAAATACCGTGAAGGCATTCAGTCGACGATTTTGCAGACTATCCTAAGCGCCCAGTATTACAAACTGCAACCAGCCAATCATACATGGAAACCGCCCCTTCGACTGTCAAAGGGGCTACTTTTTTGATGAGGCGCCTTTATTTAAGCCTTTAAATGACGTACAGCGTTTGCATATATGAAACAGCAATATCGCGTAAAATTGCCTTCTTCCGCTCATACCTTTAGTGGTCCATGCTCTTTTCCTGTCGCCTAGCGACAAATGTCTTGGAGGCGAGCACACGTACCGGTCCAAAATTTTGGTATCTGTTGCTGAGGCCTAGCTTTCTACCTCCTGCCTCCTGTTGGGCGGAGAATAATTACAATTTTATCCCGTATGTAAAAAACTGGGTGATCCTTACCTCGCAAACTTTTGTCCATTTTGCGTCTGGAAGTTTTGCTCATTACCTACCCGGTGTTGGTAAATCAGATTGAACTACTGGATGGCATTAGTTGCAGTTTTATAATGCGAGCTCAGCGAGTTTTCCTCTACTTTCTTATTTTGTTAGTGCTTTTTCTGTAAAATTCTTTGTGATGCTACTGACGTCTCCCTTCTTGAGGTTTTATTACCTCTCAATAGCCTTGATTTCCTTTCCACTCTACTTGATCATCAAATTTCAGAAAGTAAAATGGAACTTTATACTAAGATACCGCAGACTTTTTGTACAGCACTGTCTCTTAGGCGTTAAGAATAGAACGAAAGCGTGGTGGCATATGTTTTACATGGAATTTTGCATGTCGATCCCCAAGCAGTTCTTCGTGCTTGCGAATCTTCTGTTATTTTTATGTGGTTTTCGAATGTTAGCCGTTTTGCTTTCGTCCGAAAACCCAGGACTCTTCCACGCCACTGCTCTGGATTCCCTTGAGCTTCTTTTATAATTGTTTTCCTCAGCTTGCGTGGCCTGGTTGGAATTTTCATTCGACTCATATCCTTGCGTTGACATTATGTACCGCCCATATTTTAGTTTTCCCTACTACGTTTTTCTTGAGGTTTGTCAAATGGCGTTCGCATTGGAGTTTTCGGATTTGTTTGCAGGAAAAGCTTGTGAATATCACGATTGCCACTCACAGTGCTTCTTTTTTCGGCAAATGTGAGTAACAGTTTCGGGTAAGATGCATTTTTAATTCTTGCATCGGACTCAGTAAGAAACTGAGAAATTGGGTAAACTTACGGTGGACTCAAACATAGAATTATAGTTGTCTACCATTAATTTTTTTCAAAAGAAAGGCTGGCATTTAAATGAAAAGTATGGTTAGTTCCATTGTAGCTCATGCCTTCCTCCCCCTCCCCAAATCGCATCCTTTTGTGGCAGAAAGCTTAATGTTGAGACGTTTTTTGCGAATCAACACACCGAATTAATTCCTCTTAGAGGTGATGATTGCAGCCTAATAAGCACCGCTTTGTTTGATAAGTGGGCGAAAATTGCCCCTTCCTTCGCTAATAAGTCACTTCGCATCGTAATCTTCTTTATTGCCTGCCTTGTAATATGGCTGATCAAACACGAACTCAGATAAACCTTATAAGCATTGGATGAATCTATAACGAAGAGCCGTGTGTATTTCCCCTTCGAACTGAAGGGGTTTATTCGTTGGGTGATAAAATAATAAGGAATTCAAAAAAATCTAATTCCATGCCTACTTGGATTTGTATCACAGCCTTCATTTATGTCCTACGAGGTGTTTTCTCGCCATTTTTTGTGATGAGAAATACCAGCATTTTTGGAGCGTTGAGAGAAGAAAGGTGGCTCATCAACCAGTGGGCCCGCACACTCATTTTTGACCACCTACACCACCGAGAGTATTTGCGGATGGGCACTGCTCACGCGCGATAAGCGATAGCACTTTTTCTTAGCAATGCAGGTGATGCACCATACCTGCTTTTCGTTTGCCTCGAGTATTCAGGCCAAATGCCTGGAGTAGCTGCGGTGAACGAGAGGACGGCAGGCGGCTAGACCGAAGAAAAGAACGTGCAATATTGGCTTTGTTCCTGCCTCATTTTGTGCGTGCAGCGCACACGCATCACATACGGCGAGGTGGTGCGTCTTTGCTCCGTCGTAGAATTGGATTTGCGATGGGTGTGCGTGTGCGTGTGATGAAATGTCGGTGTGTGTAAGTGTGCATTCGCGTATTCCAACGTCCGCATCTTGTATTTTTGCTTGCCCTTCCAAAGAAGAAAAAATTACTTACTCAATTCGCAATCATTTGCATTACACCCCACCTCGTACAAGTATCGCTGATTCTTTAAATCCTGCGTTAGTTTGCCTCTACGTTCATTGGCACGCTGTTGCCCATTCCATATGCCTTTTATTTCAGTCGACTCTCAGCACTGATCGAGCGTTAACTCATAAGATTCCTATATCATTAACCGCTAGCGATGGGATGTGGAGTAAATGTTCTTGATTCGGATTTATTAACGCTGCCTTACTTGTTTGAAGCACTCGCCTAGCTAAAGTATGAGAAATCAATGAAGTAGGCCTTACTTTTGATCTTTCCACCTCAGATATTGCATCCAATTTAAAGGTACCACTCCAATTGAGATGCTATACTCGCCAAATGCAGAAACCTGCTAGAGTGACTTAAGGGCTTGTATTCTCCACAATGGTAGTATCTTCTACGCTAAAAAAAAAATTTGTGGAAACACTGCTTATCTATCTTTTCTGAGGTTAGCTTCATACTCCCTGTATTTACTGATTTCTGTGGGACTAATAGTTTTAACTACATTACCGACTCCTTATTCATTGCAGTGGTCGTTTTTTGATGTACTAAATAGACTGTAGTTTTTTTCGTATTTCAAACCAATCAACTCTCATGTAACGGCACCCATTTGTTGTCCAGAGATAGCAAGATGCTGTCCATTCCTTTGATCAAATCCAAGGGCTCGTGGCTATGCATCTACGATAGCTTCTGCAATCCTCAGCCCTGGTACAATGCGGGTAGTGCATGTAGCCTCTAACACCACCACTAGGAAGCGGTGAACTGCATCCAATTTATCCTCATACGTCTGTCTTGTATTTTTGACACTGCCTCGTACTTCTTTGCTGCTGTTGCTGAGTAAAATATGTGAGTCAGGGATGGTGCTGTCAAACCGCCGTCTAGACTAATTATAGGACTCCACTCCAGTTTTGTGGGCTTTGGTGTGGGCTCGCTGCCACTATTCGTCCGCCCTCTCTATCCAAGCCACGTTCACCGCACCCGTGTTTTTGCAATGCATTATGTTGGGATAGATGGATGAATCCGGATGAATAGTAATTTATATGCACAGCAAATGATTGATCACTGACCATAAAGCACTCCTCTGTATTCGTCGTAAATGTGTGAAACTGGAATTACACAAAGTGGAAGATGAGATGGGAACCACATTTTAAGTGTCAGTACAGGTTATCGCACTTAGTGTGCCCTACTTATTTCTTTACGGCGTTGTTATGTTAAACATCCTCCCAACATCACGAAACGCCAGTAAATCAATGTCCGAGTTTTAGCTATTAAAAATGAGGTAAAAAAAATATTTGCTACTCCGTCCTACTGCCATCAAAGATATTGTTCTCATCATGCTATTCCATTCATTCATTTATTCATCAATTTTCTTACCCATTATCAAATGAAGCGTCATCCAGTCTCCCAAACTCCCTCCTTGCATCCTCCGCGAAGGATTTCACTTCGATAATTTTAACTCCATTTGTTCGTTTTTAAATGAATGGGAAGTCTTATTAATTTATGACTTGATACAACAAGAACAAAATGAAATGTTTTGTTTTTGAGTTCCTCCAACAATTGCTGCGATGAGGTGGTCCTTTGTGGTGGTGGACACTTTTGATTTTTTAAACAATCATTCAGTCGCGTTGCATGACGGTTGAATGGAGCGGTTGCACTCTTTTCATTTAACACGAAGTATGAGCACAATTTATCCTCACTTTGCCATGGATCTTCTTGTGAGCATAGGTGCAAATGAAAATGTATGCACTAGCATGAAGGCGACCGCAGCGGGTTAATGCTTATTCTGGCCGTTTCTATCAAACGTACTTTATTTCCGTTTGCACATTCTGTGTCGCGATTTTTTATATGGCATCTACAAATTTGATTATCAACCCCCCATTGTCAAAAACCATTACTTGGTAAAATTATTACTCTGAAGCATATTAATGCCGTCAGTAATCAGATCACCCCATGGGTCTTGGTTTATGGATGTGTGCAGTCTCGTACTCCTTCCGCTCCCACCGTGTTCACCTCTCATCCCACACATCTACAGTTAAAGTACTCTTGAACATTATTAGCTGGTCGGCTGGTTATGCATCTTCCTTTTGGATACTCTTTAAAATCGCCGTATCAATTATCAGTATTACTTCCCCATAACCCATGCATAGTTCCGTCTTTGACACATCCATATGCTGAGATTTGTTTATTTTTTTGAAAAATCCTCCCGACTTTACCTCTTATTATTGTTCTATAACTGTCGAGCAGTGTTTAGCTAAAACCTTTTTTTTTGTTTCGTGCTTTGTTATGAAAATTTGCCTAATATTCTCTTCACCGGCGGATTCGGTCACTGCCTTGAAATTTCTTACTGAATGTCTCTTATGTGGGCATGTGTAGATATGGACTGAAAAACTGAACTACATATTCTTCGCCGGAGTGCATTTCATCAAAAAGTTTCCATGACTATGCGAAAATATTCTACTAAAATGTCAGATCTGTGAGTAAGTTTTTGGGCTGGATTGAACAATATAACGAAAATGAATTGCCGGGAAAAAAAACGATACGTATTACGCAACTCTGTTTCTGAATGTGCATGTTTAGCCAGTACCGTGTATCCGGTAGATTTATTCCAATAGATAGCCTGTTGTCATTTATCATGTAGTTGTTGGAGCTATCCAAACTTGCGTCTTGTATCTATGTTGATCTACCCGAATGATTGCATTACGTAACTTTTCATTCCCACTGACTATCCAAAGTGTAGCACTAAATAATGTAGGTAAATTTTATGCAGATAACTCACTACACCGTACTGCGCTGCTTGTACTCCAGTACGCTAATACTTTGTTTGTACAAGTTTTTCATTCTTTGACGTACGTTTGTATGCGTAGTAAGATGCTGTACGCTTCTCTTGCCACTAATAAATTATTACCACCTCTCGCATTGGCGCATGCATACAAACGTTGGCACATGGCAAATCAACGTTCTTTTCTCCAGATAGGAGCGAATCTTTGGAGTTCTTAATTTTGCATACCATATATGATCGTGTCTTGGGTTTCGTGCCAAGGGTTCCAACGTGATTGTTAGCCTTTCATGTTCTAATCAAATCTTTATTTGTTTGTTTAACATTAACTCAGGGGTAGTGCCAGAATCCCCCTGGGTGAATTCAATTCGTGCCTAGTCTACTAAATCTGCAGCCACCTGATTTCCCCTCGTCCAGAAGAGTGCCCACTTGTAGTTTGATCAACGTTTTGCGGATCTTACATAAGTGAGTGCTGTTTCATTACTCCTCATGTTGCAAGTCGACGGAAGCAGCCGCTTGGTGAGTGGAAGTCGCGCGCCGAGAGTGTCGCCGAGTGTACACACTGGATGCCCGCGTGTTCACCAACCCTTCCAGTGGATGACGCACCTGTGAGTTCCATGCAGGTCGGGGTCGTCCGCATCGTCATCAAAAGTTCACGTATGAGATGAGAGATTTCGACTGAAAGTTGATTCGGTTTCGCATACTTCACGCACTATCCCTGTTCTATTTGGTGTTTTCCCATCCCTTCCATGATGCATCACCGAGCAGAATCGTGCTTTTCGAAGATGGCAAAATGTTTCATTTGTGTTCGAAGCTTCACCACTGTAAAAACCTCTCACACTGCGTAAGCTTTACTTGTCACATGAATAAACACTACAAACAGTGAATGTTAGGTGTATTGTGAAGTAAACCATTTCTAAGAAATTATTTTTGGTTCAGTGCTTGTTGATTAACTTTAGACATATTCATGAATGAAATTAACTAACTCTGAGGAGTCTCTAAACACGTGGTAGTTCTGTTTTCACTCTACCTTTATATTATGCAAGATGAGAAACACATTACAAAAATAAGGTGCCGTTTTTTACAAATAAATCTGGCAGTATTATTATTAAGTAATTGCATAGCAAATTTCCTGATTTTTGAGAAACGCCATTATCTGGGAATAGTATGATTTCTAAGACTATGGGAAATGAAGTGGATTAACTTTCCCATGTACAGCTCGACTCGGCGAGTAGTATCTAGGCGCATCTAGCCTCGTTTTTTTATGGTTTCCTTTCCTGTCTACCGGTAGAGTTATAATGTTTTCGTATTGTATGCGATGTCTACCATTCCTCCATAAGGGGATTAAGATTTCTAACTTTTTGCATTTTTTTTGCGGACACACAGGCCTGAGCTGCCCACTTTTTTTGTATAACAATAGCTGAACCGGATGTATGGAGGTGAGTTACAATTTCACTTGGGCCCCCATGAACATGGCATGTAGAGGTGATGGGTCTGCGTGTGTATGTGTGTACGCATTTGTTCGGATATGAACCTTTGCAGTAGTTCCACTAGCTCCTCACGTGTAAACACGACACGGGCGTCGTTTTTTCACAACATAGACACCTGAGTAGCACATTTGAAGCGATTGCATCAGTACATTAAACCTGAAAGTTACAGGCACTAATTTCGTGCTTTCGTGAATTTAGCGCAAATTTAATTTGACATAATAAAAATTAGTCTTATTTGAACTCCTCAGTGCTTTGTTAGCAGCCTATGGCCATTTGTGCTTGCAAAAACCGTCTGGAATGATAGTGAGAATTTTTACGCATTTTAATTTCTACCGAAAGCCGCAATGCGTGTGTGATTCACTCACACCTTCAACTCTTCGCATTTACACTTAATGAGGTTGATTTTCCCTTTTGGACACTACGCACCAAAATCCTGATTCTATTTCATTAGAAGCGGTTAGCGCCCATTATCACAAGCTGCTTTGTAATTAACTTACGAATTGGTACTTTTTATGTCAACCAGAAAAGGACGATGTATCTGGCAGTAGATGTCAGCATTATCAGGAGAGCAGTCTCTCACATACATTGCCACCTAGCGAGAGCACAAATGCGAGTGAATTAGTTAGCCGCCGAATAACAGTGTCTCGTTTCGCGCCCGTACCACCGACTTGGAGCAACTCTCCTCTGCCCGGTGTGCCTGCCCTCATTCCCAACGTCTCCTTAGGCGGCGGGAGGCGGTCCCAGTGGTTTCTGCCTCCCACGCATACACGCACGGGCGAGTGTGCACCACCTCTGCGTTATCTTTATCTTTGCTAATTTGACTGCGCCTGTAGTGTATAGTTGGCCAACTACATTACTGACCATAAACAATCGCGTAGTAGATTGTCCCTTCCGGAGTACCACAGGACTTGACGGATTCATGACCACCACACTGTCCAATGTCTACTTTTAGTAATTTTTTTCCAAAAAACACCACCAAAGTTGATTTTGACTAAATCCTATGCCCACCCTGCCATCTTTCCTCACTTTTATGAAAAATTGGCGTTGGTGCTCTAAAATTGCAGAATATCAGCGTTAAATAATTTAAGTACATATCACATTAACGCTGAGTCCTCCCCCCTTACCAAACTAAAGTTAATCGTAACAATTTTGGCCCTTTCTGCAGACCCTGACCTTAGTACTGTTTCCTAGTTCTATGTACTGGCGTAGGTTATGTTTCGCAGTAAGCTCTTTGCAACAAATTGTCTGCCTCATTGGACCCATTAAGTCATTATTTACTCTTATATTGACTGACACTTTGAAAATGATAGCATCGTCTTTCCTCAGGCTGACTGCATAACATCCATGCCATTAAGTTTGGCTATGCAGGCCACACTTTTAACTCTTTTTTATAAATTTGAACATTTCGTCTATATCCTCATAAGTTCGTCATTATTTGGGTGAGGCAACTATTAGATTTTTGTTCTCCTCGAATTTACCATTGTGGTCTCCTCCTCTGTGTATTCTTATCTCAGTGCCTTTGCTATTCGTTATTTTTTCCCTGTTATTATGCAATTGGTTTTTGCGCTGAGCTCTGGTAAAAAAGAAGACTCGACAGGTTTGTATGTAGATAATTTGCATTAGTAGCGCTAGAATTTATAGTCTTATGAAAATTACAAAGAAAACCCGAAGGGCATTTCCATGATTTAATCCAATTTTTCGTTAAAGGGTGGCATTTTGCGGAATCAGTGCTTCCTGCCCTTGTCTTCCGACACTGGCATTTATTGCCGGAACTGGGGCCATTGACTCTGCCAAAAATCCACCTTATCAACAAGATCTATCGTCCACCGCGATTCGCGTGCCATTCTGTTTAGAATGGAACTTTTCGCCGTAGAAATTCAGTTTTTTTGCATTTTTGACAAAGACCGAATTAAATTATGCAGGATGGTGATAAATGAGATGATTGTAGGGCTTTTATTTCTAACTGTTAGCGTCTGTCTTTAAGGAGTTAACTTTGAAAACGACGAATGATTCTACATTTTCTTAGTAAATTCCACCTTCTTCTTACCACATGCATACAAATTAAACCGTCGTTGTTCTAGGAATCGAAACATATTTAGGCCTTAAAGGCTTCACCGGTGGAAATGGACCATATGCCCTTAAGTTGAATCAGAATGTTTCAAAAAGGTTCACTTGAAATGCTACACTTTAATGGTTCACGAAATATCGACGAGTGTTTTTTGTGTCTAAGGCTTTATCAAAAAATTAAGCGATAATTTAAAATTGAATCACACGTCATCAGATGAGAGCTCCAGGAGAGGTGAATCATTGCGGCATCGCGTTCAGCACGAATGACGAGGTTCGGCACTGCTTGAGCATAGCACAAATTTGCATTTGATATGGCCATCTGTCGACGTACCTTCCGAAAAATATTTCATCCTTACATAAACGTTGGTCTGCCCCTCAAGTGGCTACCTACATAGTGCAGGCCAATGTTAATAGATGATTCTTAGCCTTGACATAAACTTTGTTTTACCGTCATTTCCCTGAGTGGAGAAGATCACAATTTTCCTTTACAGATTGAGGGCTGGGTTGTCACTCAAGATCCTTAGTGGAAGTCAAAGGAGACGGCAAAATTTTCCATCACTTCAAAGTACTCATTCCCATTTAACCTTTATCGTGTTATTCAAACCCAGGCACACAAGACTCCACTATCGCTTCAAAGAAAGCCTCAGAGAATGTGTGAAAAGTCGGACAATTTCTGTTGCTCTAGCTAAGGTCGGTCTCACAGATGTCACATTGCATTCGTTTCATTTGCTGTAACTCAAGAGTTTTGTGTGTGATTCACAACCGCCAACTTTGTGAATACATAAACCATTCTGGACAAGTATTTTTGAAATGCCCTGATGAGGCGTCCAATTTTTGTCGCTAATTATCAATTAAATAAAAAATTTTTCATTATTTTGCAGTACAATAAAGTGGCCCACCTCTTCGCCAACTTGGGCTTAGAGATCTGCAACTCCGAAACGGCAAAGTCACCATTCGGGGGCAGCTTTGCTCCTTCTGACACCTGTTGGAACGGAACTTCACTTGTCTCATCGTGAGTAGCAGTTCCCTTCATCGTGCATCGCATGTACCAGTAAAGTCATTTTATGTCGCCACTTCCTTTAGCTCTTCTCCCCTACCCAAATCCTACATAACTTCGAATCGACCTAATTAAAATGACGTTGGTTGTGTGTTTGCAAACATTTTGAAGTGCCTCTCTGTATATCGAGGTCATCTTTGTTACCATCTCAATTTCCGTATTACTTTTTTACCTGACACTTTTCTTCAATGGCGTCACGTTTGATAAACATCTTACCAGACTGTTGGTCCTGTCTAATAGACCCCCTTGATTATTTGTTACCATCTGGCTTTTTATCAGGCCATTGGCATTTTGGGAAATGTTATTTGCTTGTGGCTTCCACGTAATTGATCTTATCCAACAGAAGGCTAGTACCATATTACTGGCCAAGACATTCGTATCATTTCATTTCCTCAAGTCGCGACAGACTTAGTAACAGTTAGTTTGGTAATGATGACACTAAAGACATCTTTTTACTAAAGTCGACATAAAGTAAGTGCCTTTTATCCAATCTAGCTTAAAACTTGAGCAGTCCCTTAACGAAATATCTTTTCATCACGGGGTATCAGGGTTTTTATGCAGGGCAAAACCAGTAAATGGCGATTATCTACTTTGAACCCAATTTCTCGCAAAGTAAATAAGATTTAAAAGTTTGAACTTTGGAATGCGAACTGGGGCATTTTTGCAAATATAGTCGTACTTTCCATGCAAAATTTTGACTAATACAGCTAAAAACTTCATCACTACTCATTCATGCAACTCCCACCTATGATGGATTTTTCTGACCTCCGTAAATCCTCTTCGAAAAAAGACCTAAAAGACGCCTCAGGAATCCACTTAGGAGTGTGCACAAGCATGTCGGTAAAGTTCCCCTTAGGGTACTCGTCTGAGCCTTGGAGCATTTCGTCAGTTTGCATCGTCCGGTGACAAGATGTTTAGTAGGAGGACTGGCAAGCCCTCGATTCCGTTTTGTGCATTCAAAAATTGACTTATCTGACCGTCTGTCGATATTACCACTACTTTGGTTTTAATTGCACAAAACGTAAAATAATGCTCCTGCGATTTTGACTGCTCATTATGATTCTTAAAGTCAACCGAATGGATGAGAGGATTCTCTCAAACTTGAAGTTTTTTTTACAAATGATTTTTCTAGTACCTACGCAGTCATACATCCACAGCATCTATTCCTATCACATCCCTCTAGAATCATCTGGTAGTTTTACACGTCCACACTACAGTGACGACTCTAACCTCAACTTACTAAAAATGAGTAAATAAGGAGTCACACTGCACAAAGTCAACAAGTCTCATGGTGGAGTTGCTTCGTCCGCCTGTCAAATTGGTGCATTCTGCACTGGCACCCACGCCCCCATGATGACATAATGGTGGTGTTGGGGGTGTCGATCCACCTAGCCAACTTGCCTTCACTTCCGGTTTTGACGTCATTTTTCACAGAAGGGGACCAATTTCCGCGTGATATTAACCAACCAATAATTTTTTTTAAAATTTGTTCACGATCTAATTAATCGTACGTCATGTTGTTTGAAAATGTGTTTTATCCACGTTCTGAAGTATTTTATGTGAGATTGTGTGATCTGCTGTTTATCTGTTTGTACGAAATGCATTCCCCGACTACTCGTTTTACTTTTGCATCCCTCATTAAATGAACTGTTACAGAGCGAACTAGAATTGTACTCCTTGTGAGACATAGAATGTGCAGATTCCATAGCCCCCTGTTGTGTGCTGAACGTACGGAACTTGAGCTTCTACTACTGGCTGAGGTGATGGGGCAGATGTACACGTTTCTGCTCAACGTAATGGCAACTCGACTTTCCTCCGTTGGCTTCGTCCACGCAAAGCCCTGTGCCCGTGGGGCGAATGTCCACCTGAATGCGTCATCCGCCTGCATCACTGATGCCCTTTGTCTATCCTCTTGCCTGTTTTGTTGACACACACGGAGGGTAGTGCAAATGCCCTCCCTGCTCAGTGGACGTCTGTTACATCCCGCTTTTACAGTGAGGTATTATACTGCCAAGGCAACTGTACCTCCATGTTTAGAAATTCCACTATTTTACCAATTTTATAAAAATCGAAAGACAAGTTATTATTGTGTTGGAAAAAAGCTGCAGTTGCGCAGTCATGTAGCATCTTAAAATGAAAAACCCGTTTTCTTATTCAATTCATATTGGACTCAACTGTGGCACTAAAATGAAAGATTCTGAGTGGAACACTCGTGGCAGTTGCAGTGCATGTCTACTCCATGCATTTTTATCCCGCCTGGTGACGAGTACCCGACGTGGCACTGATGCTGGCCAGACAACCTGCCTTGCACCCTATGATGCCAGTATAACTGACAACGCATCACTCGTCATCAAAAAATTATTTTGGAATGAGAATTGACTTTATTTCAACAATCTCAAGTTACTAGGCTCAGTGTTAGGTAACTGGTTTCCCTTGTACTAACAAGAAATTTGGTCGCCCCCAAACCACCCTCATGTATAGCGAGAAGTTTATATTCACAACTAATGCACTTAACTGCTTCAATATTTGTCATTTCTGGGCCGCACAACTCCCTTTGATACAATAATCACACGCTCAAGTGTCGACTTTGGGTTAATCTATTGGAAGACCTCTAAGGTATGTAAACCCTAGGTAAATTTGTCCACAAATGAATGTAGCAAGCCTTCATAACCCATAGGTATAGCTGGTTGCAATCAAGGATATCCATTTTTTCCTTAAAATTCAATTGCACAACAGTTCATGTCCTGCATTTATCTTATAAGCTTCACCGCCGATCGAGATAAATAATAACAAACACCATTTCGCCATGCGGAATCTGCTGCTTCTACTGAGTAATGTCATCGTGATATTTCTCCTTGATGGCGGAAGGAAAGGTACGCGTTGTAATAACTAGCGTTTTGGCTGTTTGGCATGTCCCTCCTTCTGCGGGAGGGCGGGAATGGCGTCGTCAAAATTCTATTTTTAGTTGTTCGACCACACTCAGGAATCTTTAAGAAATAGCATCCTTGCAGCGAATCATTACAATAAAATTTTACCGAACGTCTTGGTGTATATGAACATCGTGGGGCAAAAGTCACGCTCGGCTTACGGTGTGCTAAGTGCTTTGCCTATTGTTTCCTCCTGCTATCCTTTGTTCTGTCATATTCCATTTGGTCATGCATAAACTGGTAACTACCCAGTAATTATACAATTATTCCCGACATCTTCATTTCCAACTAAATGTTTTATTGCTACTTTGCAGGCAAGTTGTAGAATGGTAATTAGAGTAAAGGATTAACCCAAACTATGTTGGGAGGCAGTCATATTAATTCCACCTTACCTAGCCTCTTTCATCCAGGGCGGCAATGAAATCGTATGTGCGCCGAGGCCAGTTAGCGATGCCCACCGACCCAACGCTGCGCCAGAAGGAGCTAGGACTGCGGAGGGCAGTGATTAACTTGCAGCGCGTGGCGAGCTCAACTTTAGTGGACCCGGAAGTTCTGCAACTGGCGGATCCTGCTGCAACCACCCTCAAGGTCGGCCGCAATGAAGTGCCTGTGAACTCGGATGAGGAAGCTCTCCGCAGCTACCTCGTTCCCTCCAACTCAACTGAGGCCAGCTTGGTAGGTCTACTTTCTCTGGTTCCTTTGAAACCACCTCTACTTACATTTGTCTAATTTAGTATAGCGATTCCCTATAGTGTTGCCTATCTCCTTTCCTAGGTGGGTACATTATCCATGTTCTTAGTTACTTCAAAATAGGTATTTATGCTGGATAGGTTTAAAAATCCTTTTTTTATAAGACTGTTGTGTTACTTGATATTTAAATGCTTCATCAACCCATCCAGACCGGTTATTTCATTATATGATGATTCAACCTTAGCATGGGGTACGGGAATTGGAAATACATAAATCGGTCTTCTTAGTGTATCTTTTCGCGTTATTTTCTGTACAGGTAATATTGTCTGTCCTGCAAATTCTGACATATGCTAAAGCTTATGCATTTGGGTTTCCCTTGAGGCTCATAATGCGGCCGCTGCCGCACTACCGCCGTGGGACGTGCAGCCACCGCTGCCTGGGACACCTTTGAATGCTGGAAGTGTCAGTAGAGGGGCGGGCTTCGAGCCGGACACGGAGACAGGTGAGGAGGGGAGTGGGTACGGCGGTGGAGAGGTGCCTCTGCCCTACGGTAGTCCTTTTGCACCCCCCTTGGAGAATGATCTTCGCAATCAACCTCTGGGACTGCCCTCAGCCTCACACCCCTTGCCGCCCGCTGCTGCTCCCTCCGAATCCACTGCTACCACCCACAGGCCATCACTGCTGCAGCCGTCAAACAACTTTGTGTCTGGTGGCGATGACGAAGATTTCCGACCGCGGATTGAGGTAAACTACTGACCTCCTAACCTACCCTTCTTTTGTATCCCATAATGGCTTAGAGATATTAGCGGACTTCACGAAATCTTGTAATCGCCACAAATATTGTAACTAAAAGGACCATCAGAATTGTCAGCTATTGTGCAAGCACCAGCGTCTTGTTAGGCCATTGACTTGTGTGGAAATTGTTCGTGCCGCCAAGACTTCGGAAATGACGTAATAGGTGTTGGCTGCAAGATCTTGCCAAGTTAAGGTTTATATTTGCGAAATATGTCTGCTTTAAGAAAGGTAAAAAATATCCCAAGAATAAATCATCCTTTAATCATATATTTACGTCAATTAATTAGCAGTATATTGCTTGGCAATTATTCTGTTTTAAAACGAAATCGAAAGAGCACAATCAGATCTGTTGAAGTTATTGTCATGTGTACTACGTGAATGGCTAGGAATCAAATTAATCTCATTACTAGCCCTGTCTCCTCTACTGTTTTCCAATGACAACTTTCTAACCTCGATCATTCACCTTAACTTGCCCGATTTGTGTCCCTTTACCATTCTTCGACCATATAATACGATTGTCTATTACAGCTACAATTCGATGATGCCAACATTACACATGAATGTAGTTTTTTGTTTCGTTTCTCTGTAAGTGTATATCCAACGTTCGGTGATCTCACGGCCTGCAGCATTTGCTCGCAACATGTGCCGCCTTCTGAATGTGTAGGCCTACGCAAACCAGCCTTGAACATCTGGTCTTTCTCTCTCTTTAGTAAACTCCCGTGGGCTTTGTCCCTAATAATTGCAGGAATTCATAAAGTAGTTTACCATCATGACTGTATTGACATCATGCTTGAAGTTGCGATGTTAATGGACTCTAGGTAGAGGTGTGTGAAAGACTGACCTTTCCGAGAGAGCATCCCTCCAAGTTGGACGTTGTTTGGGTAGTGGCGACATTTTTCGTGTGTCTTTACTTCCCCAAAATAGTTCTCGCCTTTGTTGGATTTCACCTACTCGTGTGTTTCCTATTTGCAATTGAGTGGTATAATAGAGTTTTCAAAAAAAATTGATTGAAATAAGCCTCCATTTTAACAAATGATCAACCTGTCTCTACTACATTGTGCTCATCCTAGGCGTTCTCGACTATCTATCTTCACTTTCTGAGCATACCTCTGCAGACTATACATTTCTAAATACCTGCCAGATGTTTCATCTACCAATATACATGTTTCGGTCGTCTTTACTTCACTAACTTGAATGCAACTTTTAACATAAAATATAGCCATAAAGACATTTTTCTCCTATCGAGGCAACTATCCGTCTTTTTTAGGTATAAATGTTAGGTATTTTTGCCTTGCCTAGACGAGAACAAATATGTACTCAATATTACCCCATTTGGATCAATAAGTAATTGACGAAACCATGAGAATGCATACGTCTTTAGACCTTCCTGATCTTCAACATCCCTTAAATTTTATAAATCTGAGATATTTTGGCGCGTCAACTTTTGCATTGAGTGCTATGTGAGATTCTAAACGAGGAAACCTCGATGCATAATACACGTTTTTCTTCAGA